AGCTTACGAGGAAATGTTTTCCACGGCTTTACGAGGAAAACTTTCCTCGTAAATTAGCTAGGCCTTTACGAGGAAAATAGCCTTTACGATGAACGTCTTTCGACGAAACACGTTTCCTCGCTATTTCCTAGTAAAGGGCCATTTACTAAGAAATAACGAGGAAAACCCGTCCTAGTAAAGGACGTGTTTTCTTGTAGTGCAACACCACAATTATTAGTCGAAAGATATTTTTTGAAGTTCAACAAATTTAAAGAATATATACAAGCATGTTTTCAAATTTGTTGAAGGCAAACACATCTGAAGCAGAAAAATAAACAAAACAATTAAGACAATGAAGCTTCAGTTGTTATGGCTTGCTTTGGTGTTCAATGCCGTTGAATCTTATGCAGCTAAGCAAGGAAATAGTGCAACAATCCCAGCAGTAATAGTTTTTGGAGATTCAATTATGGATACTGGTAAATGGTAATAACAACAGACTCCACGTACACTCTTTTGAAGTGCAATTTTCCTCCCTACGGCAAGGACTTTCAAGGTGGCTTAGCCACCGGAAGATTTTCTGATGGAAGAGTTCCCTCTGATCTCATTGGTAAGGAATTTCCTTATATTTGTTTATAGAAAATCTTGTACCTTTTTCTAAATCATGTTCTATATGCTTTTCACCAATTTTCTTTCAGCGGAAAAGTTGGGATTGGCTAAGTCACTACCAGCATTTATGAGCCCGAATTTGAAGCCCCAAGAAATTCTTAAGGGTGTAACATTTGCATCTGGAGGAACTGGTTACGATCCATTAACGGCTAGTATCATAAACATCAATACACTTGGATTAACTAATCTAAATTTAAGCTTTAGAGTTAAATAAAAATAAATATTACAAAATTTAAAATAAAAATGAGTTAATTTGGTCATTTTATTTTTTGAAGAATATTTTTATGATAAGAACTTAAAATGACTATTTGAGAGAATTACCCATTAACTTATATCTAACACTTTATCTTATGTATAATACTTAGGAATTACATAAGCTTGGAGCTAAAAAAATAAGAGTGTTTAGCGCAGTGCCGGTTGGATGTGTACCACTTCAAAGAACAGTGTTCGGAGGATTGTTTACTAGAGGATGTTTTGAACCTTTAAACAACATGGCTAAACAATTCAATGCAAGGCTTTCACCAGCACTAGAATCTTTAGATAAAGAGTTGGATGGTGTTATCTTCTACATTGATGTTTATGATACTCTTTTTGACATGATCCAACTACGGTAAGCTCATCTTATAATTATATTTTTATAATTTTTTCATTTGTATCGTAAAACCTGGAACCAAACTACCGAAGTGAATTTATCTCATCATGTTTCAGGTTTTGAGGTAGCTGATTGAGAATGTTGTGGTAGAGGCACTCTTGCAATATCCTACATGTGTAACTCATTGAATCCATTCACATGTTCTAGCTCTTCGTCCTATATATTTTGGGATAGCTACCACCCAACTGACAGAGCTTATCAAGTTATTGTTGACAACTTGCTCGACAAATATTTAAGCAAAATCTATTGATGTTAATCATCTTGGTGTGATTGTGTTTCCCCATCTCATTCTTGTCTCTCTTTATGTATTCATCTTTCAAATATTCAATGTTTCAAAATTTATGAATGTTATAAAGTGCACTACAACCAATTGAACTCTGTAACAAACGGAAATAAGTTTATTACATATCTTTTATCTTTCAATAACTCTTCGACTGTTTCTGAAATCAGTAACATCTGTGTCTTTACCATCACTATTCCCATGTCGGTTTCCTCCTCTTCCTCCTCTGTTAGAACCCCTGAAACTCCCTCCTGAACCGCGTCCTCCTCTACTGCTCTTTCTATCAAACCCATCTTCAAAACCGCCACTTCTGCTTCCCATTCTTCCCCCAAACCCGCCTCTATCTTCTCTGTTCCCTCTTGATCTACTTGACCCTCTGAAATCTTCGCCGTCACTATCAAAACCACCACCCCTTCTGCCTCCCCTCCCTCTTGATCTATTATCCGAGAAGCCACCTGAGCCCTTGTAATCAGAGGTATTATAATCATTGAAGCCACCACGTACACCTCTCATTCTTCCTCTGTTCCCTCCTCTTGATCTATTACCAGACCCTCTGTACTCATTATCATCCATGTCATCATCAGATTCTGAAGCTGAATAGGATCTTCTTTTTCCCTTAAACCCACCTCCTCTTGCACCGTTACTTCTTTGGCCACCACCACCCCTTAAACCAGACCTGGGACCATCGTCCTCCATATCAGAGTCGAGCCCAAACTCATCGTCCGACCCAAAAGTCAAGTTTCTCGAAGATGGACCTCTGTTTGTTGAAGCAACGTGGCTTGATTTCCACCTGGGAGTGACGGAAGCATCATCATCTGAACTGAAACCTGGCTCATTATCCCTAGAGAAACCTCCCCTACTGTTTCCATTTCTGTTTCTACTATTGTGAAACGGTGAGCTTCCTCCTCTCTGTGCATTGTAACCGGCCTTTGACTCTGGAAACTGCTCATCCTCTGAGAACTCTTCAGAAGCATAAGGTGGTCTAGCTCCTGCTACTGGAACCTCTCTGTTACCAGTTTCGTCTATCTCATAGCTATCAATGTCATCTTCATCGTCAAAATCATCAAACCCAACACCAGGTCTTCTGCTCCTTCCAGGCTCAGAACTCTCTCGGGCTCCTGGAGGAAGATTACCAAATTCTTCTTCAGGATCTCTCAAACCATCTATTGGAAGGTTTTGATTCTTTCTACTAGAATCCGCATATTCAAAAGCAGCAACTTCCGCACCGTCTGATTCATCGTCATCAAAATCAAAGTTCCAGGCATTGGAAACATCATCCCGCTTCCCAACCTTGTCTGATTGTCCTTCAGTGAATCGATGATGTGTTTCTTGTGGTTTGTTCTCTAAGAAAGCATCTGGTGGGCGCTTGCAATCACAATGAAAACATGCCATGTTTCTCCTATAGTTTAAGAAGTTGCATCTGCCATAACAACAAGTAATATCATCAGTTCCATGACATTTGAACACAGTATATGTTTTTTCTCAGAGTCAACATGCCCCCAAAAAGCGTGGAAACTTACTCAGGGCATTCCCATTCTCCTGGAAGGAGCTGTCTCTTTGGCCTCTTTGCATCACACTGTAAGCAAATGGTGTTCTTTGCGAAGTTCATGAAATCACACCTAAGAACAAAAATTACAATCTCAGGAAAAAATTCAAAAGTAGAACATAGAAAGTGGTTTTTTCTCTCTGATGTGCCTAGCTTGTGCAAAAATCTATGTTCTGTAAAAGTTTAAAGCCAAAAAATGAGACGTTTCTATACAAACCTGAGGCCATGCATCTAGTTTTAATGGTTCGTTAAGGTAAGACCGTGATATATGCTTGAAAAGGAAAAGATAAGATGACTTACTTTGGGCAGAGCCAATCACCTTTCTTCATCTCAACGTCATCACGACCAACACGTCTCTTAGGAGGGGGAGGTGGCTGCTTGACTTTAAGTGGAGCTTTCTTGATAACTGGTGGAGTAAGGTTAGGATCAATTGGCACCCTGCCTAACTTGACAACCTCATGCAGCAGCTTACGCACAACAGTCTTAACAGATTTTTTCTTCAGGAGGCTTTTGTTGGCTACTGTATCACTCAATGGGTCAAAACCATAGGTGAACAAAATCTTCATGAGGTCAAGGGTTCGAGCCTCGTCCTCTTTGTTTGTTAACAGAAACGCCTTCTCGCACGAGTTTCTCAAGCTGCAGGAACTGCAGACCTGATATATATTTAAATGGATGTTATCATCTAAAGAATCTATTGATAGTAAACCAATTAGGAAATTTTACCAAAGATCTCAAGTGGAAGAAAACCTTAAAAAGGATAGTTTAGAGCATCTACAACCCCACTATAGCTATCACTCTAACCCCAGACTATTTTCCACTCTATAATAGAGTAAAAATGGGTTTACTCTATATATGTAATCCATTTATTTTTTTGTTCATCACTCTATTTTTTACTCTAAAATAGAGTATCATTGGAATAGAACTCAACTCTATTATAAGTTACTCTAGCTTTACCAATGAGCTAAAGACTCCTAACCTATTTATCAAAATCACAGTGTAAGAGATGCATAGTACACAAAATCAGAGAGGTTTCAACGGCACTGATAGCTTTTTTTTTTTTTTGTCAACTCAACGACACTGATAGCTATAATTCAAGAAGGTGGAATTACAGAACCACAAAAGTTCATACAAAAGCAAAGATGAAGCTTACATCTCCTTCATCAAGATGGACACGCTTCCTCAGTAACTTCCCTGAGAAAACAACTTTCCTATCAGTCGCTGGACACCCATGCCCTACAAGTATTTGAATGTCGTTCCTAGACAATGACCTGAAGCAAAATAAAAAACAATCATATAAGCACAATAGCAGTTGATAAATGTTTTAATCCGAAAACAACTAACTAACTTTTGTTATACATACCACAAAGAGTATAAAACATTAGCAAAATGAAATCATAAGCCTGAACAAACCTAAGAATATCAAAACGGTCTTTTCCGAAATTAACACAAGCGTTTTGCACAGCTCTAAAATCCTGAAACAAAGCAGCTCCAACATCATTTGATGACGATGAAGACGACGACGAAGGCAAATCGATTCCCAAACTCTGCACCATCATCTCATCTTCATCTCCTCCATCGTCACGTCCCCTCCTATGATCAAAGTAATTCTGCTTCACCAACACCTCCATAAGCTCCATCCACTCAGGCCACGGATGCACCAGCTCCACCACTCCCTTCTCCTTCCCCTTCTCACTCAACTCCGCCACATTCGAATCCCCGGCCGTTTCGGATTCGGATTCTCCATGATCCGGATGAGCAGGAGGAGGAGGAGGAGGAGGAGGAGGTTGTGGTTGTGGTTGTTTGGATTGGCGCCAAGAGCGGATACGTTCGAGAGTTTCGTCTTGCTCGGAGTGGCGTTTCTCGATCGCGTCGATCTGATCGAAGACGAAGCTGAGGCGAGATGAGAGGGAGGAGGAAGGTTTGTGGTTGTGTTCAGGGTGGGGAGAGGAGTTAGGGTTTGTGCTATGTGCGGAGGTGGAGAGTGGTTTCACGAGGAATGGGTGGAAAAGGCGGCGGTTATTAGGGTTTATGTGGAGGAGTGAGAGGCGTTTGATGAGGAGGAGAGAGATTGATGGAGGCATTACAGAGAGAAAATGGCTCTACGGGAAAAGGGATTCAGAGAGTGGTGAGGGTTTATGTTCCCCTCTGTCTCGGTGTTAAACCCATCAAAATCTCTCAGATACTTTCATTTTGGTTCGATTTGGTTTATACACATTTTTTGGTTCGATTCTTTTTTTTTCTTTTTCTTGAAAGAATTTAAAATTTTATTCCAATAAAAAAAAGAGAAATTGCACTCCATGTACAAACTTAAGTCGATAATTTGCTGGGATGGATTTCACCTTTTTCATCTGGCGTGTTTTTTCTTAATGACCAAACCACCCCTATCTTTATGCTATACATCCTAAAGCTACATATACTGACATGTTCTTTTTTTGTCTCTCTCCTCTGTAACTTTACTTTGTTTTTCTCCGTCTATGATTCTTCTTTCTTTTAGATTAATGTAGTGGCAACAGAAAATATTACATTAGCACAGGCAGCGATGATAATGTACCAGATTGTGGCATATCTTTTACGCCTAAGGCAATGGTGAAAATAGCGGCAAAGATTCCATAGACATATTTTCTTCTGTTATTTTGGGAATCCATCAATGGCGGTCACAACTCATAACCCATGAGATTTAGGAGAAGTTATTTTTCTCCTATAATTTGAATATGTTTGTAAGGAAGAAAATTATGTTTCTTTCCTTTATTGTATAAAATGCTCAAAATTTTTGTTTTTGGTTAGTGCTCTGTAACTTTTCTATCTTTTTTTGCTTAAGATTTTTATTTTTATATTACTGCAATGTCAACGAAAAAGGTTACACTAGTATATATACATCAGCGATTACTGATCAGATTGAGTAGATTAAGTTGCCTTTGTTGCTCTGGGAATCAATGGCGGTTACAACCAACAAAATTTGGTTGTGGTTACTTGCAGTAAACTTCTTCTCTATCCTATGATTTTAATATATTTTTAAAGAAGGAGAAGCTGGAGACTGGTGATTTATGTTTGTTTCCTTTGTATGTGTAAACATTCTGTTTCTTTCTCTTTTGAATATTTTAATAAATTTTCTTTTATTAATTAAAATAACGGTTACTTGTATAAATAGCCAAGAAACAAAAACCTAATAACCACTTATCATAAAATTTATCCAAAAAATTAGAATAATAACCATGTTATCTTACTGATCGACTAATGTTTTAATGAGGGAACAGTGGTTCGTTTGTTTATTGATGGCATCCTGGATTATTTTTTGCATGATGTTGGTGATGAACCTGTTAAGCTAAGATTCACTCTTGACCATATACTATTTCAGTCTAGCAATGAATTTGGAGACAATAGTGAATTGTTTTTAGTGATGAACTTTGTGACATAACCGGATACTAGATTTTACATGATATTTTTGTTACATTTAGCCGGTTACAAAAACGAACACATACAATACAATTCAAGTTACAATATTTTGTAAATTAAGTAATTTATTATGAATGGTTCCAAACCAGCTAACATTAGACATAACTATCATTTGATTCGATAGCCGGTAATTTTAAATCTAAATATCCGCTAATATGCGAAGTATCTGGATAATTCAAAATATGACCATGTTAATTTACAAAAGTTCTGAAAATAATTAACCATGTTAAGTTACATATTAGCTACATTAAATTCTTCTTATATGAGTTAAGCTAACATTATCTAAAGTATAATCAAATAATATGAATACAAAAATACATATTTATTAACCGGATAACTATACTTTACAGACCTCGGATAATTGTAATGTTAACTGACCATTTATTAAAAATACCACCTAAGAATAATGATATCTAGATAATTTGTATATAGTACCATCTAACTATAACAAAAAAAAATTCAGTGAAATCTTAACCGGTTGTTTTCACAAATTACTTCATAATGAAAAGTGAAAGATATTTCTAAGAAGCATATTAACAACTAATAGTTGATACTCACTCTTGATAGACTCTCGTCTTCTAAGGTGATCCGCCGGAGTTGGTACTTGATGAAGACAATGCAACGATAATATGACGGAGGTGGCAATGGATGATGATGGTCACAAAGAAATCATTTGTTGAATCGTAAAGAGTGAATGATCTTTTTGTTAAATAAGGCTTGTATTTCCCAGATTCTGTGAATTTACACGCCGTCATATTAATCACTTCCAAAACTTGATGGTTTTAGTTAGAGAAATTTGAAACTGAATGCGTGAACTTTTGAAAAAAAAAGAGAGATGTGCTTGTGGTTTGCAGAAGAGAGAGAGAGAGATGCATGTTTAATTACTGGTCGAACTTTGGTGGCTATACTTTGATATGCACAAACTACATAAATATTAATCAAGACTAATTTTTCAGCTTCAAACATAAACAAAAAGAGGAATAGGGTTATCATAGTCATTTCTTGTCTCTTAAAGGTGGGCCTGAAGTGTTTTTTGCCATCTTGCAAATTACAGCATCTTTTTAGAATTTGTGTGCAAATTGCTCTAAAAAAAAACCTTGTTAAAGAATTCATTTGTTTTGGTTCGATTTAGTATAGAGAATCATTTCTTTTTTTATTGGTCAACAGAGATCTTTCAAATGATAGAAGTTAGTACTTTTAACTAGATTTTAATCCATATTTGCAAAAACATATAACTAATTTTTATTAACAACATTTTTAGAGTACTATAATTTTGTACATAATACAAACTAGAGATAATTAATAGGACAATCTTCTTACTTAAAGGAGGACGCTGGCATTTTTTTTAATTCAATGTTTCCTAATTTCTGGGTTTTATTTTACTCCTGCATCCAAGTAAAACGGGAAACTTTTAATATGATTTAGATTTTCATAACAAGTATCTATACTGAATGGTTACTGTTTTACTATATGTTTGTATAGCATCACGAAGAACCTTGAATTAGGGGCGGATGTAGCTTACGGCGTACGGGTCACGTGACCCCAACTAATTTTAAATTTTGAGTTTTTTTAAGTTATTAGCTTAAATCCTATGATAATGCCTCGTCTAGTTTATAAAATTTGAAGTTGTGCCCCCGATTAAAAGTTCTCCTAGATCTGCCACTGCTTGCATATGTTAGACCATCTCCAACAATTTACATTATTTTTTTAATCTAAATTAGAGTCACTCTATAATAGAGTTAGAATTTACTCCAATGGTACTCTATTTTAAAGTGAAAAATAAAATGATGAAAAAAAAACAAGTTACTCTATAATTGGAGTAAACCTATTTTTCACTCTATTATAAAGTGAGATATAGAGTATCATTGGAACATTTTTACTCTAAAACTCTATTTTAAAGTGAAAAACAGAGTGGAATTGAAGATGCCCTTAGTTTTCCAAACAGTGGGCGTGTTAGAAAGAGGATGGTACCCCCAAAACTATGTGACTATGACTGGAGTGAACATGATTGACCACTACAGTAGACAACGACTTACGAGTCTAGCTCCGTGCAGAAACATGTCATCGAGATGTACTCCGCCAGGTTAAATAGTCTTCTTTACTACTGCATTTGCTTAGTGATTGGCCAAGTAAAGAGACTAAAGAGACCCGCATATTGTTCGTGCACTCCATTCTCACATCATATTAAAACCTATTCTCAGCGTTTCCGAAAATAAGATATTCTAAATTTTTTTCTTATTTCAGAAACATTTATTGGAAAATAAATTTGTGTAGAGTTTGTGGATTTTAAAAGTTGATATAGATTTATAAAGTTATGTGGATTATAAAAATATACATATGTTGATTTGTAAAATTTGATCATATTTTTCTAGATTGCAACAGATTTTCATGAATTTGTATTTCTTTTTTTTTATATTTCTTTTCGTAAAAATGTATTATTTTAGATTTGAGAAATTTTCTAATATAGTCATTTTATCACAAAAAAGTTTTAAAAGTAGAAAATGACCAAAAGAGATTTTTTAGAAAGGTAAATAAAATTTTATATCTTTAAGGTTAACTAATCCTAAACTCTTTTTTTTAGAGTTAAAGGGTATGGTTTTAGGGGTAGGGTTTAAAATATTCAAAAATAGAAAATAAATATTAAAAAATTTAAAATAATTTCAAGGCGAATTTTTAAATTTCAAAAAGAAAATTAAAATAAAATTGAAAAAATTATAAAAAAAGTTTGAATCTGAAAACATATAAAACATAAAATATGTATTTTTTATTATTTTTTATTTTTATAATTAAATATTTATTATTTATATTTCTTAAAAAAAGAGTAGAAAAATATTTTGATCCTAAAAAATAAAAATATAATTATACATTAAAAAGTAAGTAAATAAAAATGTTATGGATTATAATTTGAGACATATAATTTTGATTAAAGGTGAAATATATATCTGGTAAGAAGAATTATTTTGTTTTTTAGATGTTTTAATCACATGGATTTTGAAAACCTCATGCATACATATGATATTTTGAAAATTGTGTCTTATGTGTTAAAATATAGAGAATTCATCTCCCAATAACAATAGATTTAGTAGAATTAGAGAATCAATACTAAGTATACTTTTTGAATAACAAGGTATTTGAGTAGATTTTGAAAAATCTTAAACCGATAATAGTGGATTTACTAAGAGTTTTAAAATTCATGAACCAATAATAAAAGAATTTGACAAAACTAATTGGGTTTTCTCTTTCCTCCTCTCCGCCTTCTCTCTACGACAAAAGAACAAAAAGCAAAATCTCAAATCTTGCTCCGGCGTGCGGAGACACCGGTGGCGGGGCCGGTGTGCGGTTGCTCCGACGCCGGAGGCACCTCTTCCCTCTATCTCCTTTTCCCCTTTGCTTCCTCACCCACATCTCCTTCACCGTCAATATGTCTGTTTCTGTGGTAGGTCTCTCGTCGCCAGAATCCTAAACCTTCCCGGGAAGTGATAGATCTGGTGGTTGGGTTGCCGTCTGGAGAATCAACGAGAGGGTGGGGACTGTGGTGTGAACGGAGTCGGCTTTTAGGGTACGGGCAACGTCAGATCTCGTTTTCGTTTTGTAGCTCCCGTCGTTGTTCCTAGTTATGTCGACACGTGAGGTCGAGTGAGACCCTCTTCTCTGTACTTCATTTAGTTATGTGATTGTGGTCATGTGGAGAGGTGTTGGAAGCTTTTTGTGTCCCGGAGGCTTGGTGTCTTGTTTATGGGTTCCGGTTTTGCAGCCGCTCAACAGAGGCTTCGTTGGTCACTGAAGGCGCGTACCTAGCGATTCTTGCGGCTGTGTGGTCGTGGCTCGTCTAGGATCCTTACGTGTGAAGCTCGAGTGGGTCGGGAGACTCTGTCGTCTATGGCAAACTATCCAGTCTACAACAACGTCTCTCTGTTTGTCTCATGTCATCACGTTTCACTTTCAAGTTTGCTCAGGTTATATGGATCTGAGAAGCTAAGGATTCGTTGTATCAATACTCGTCGTCTCTCCAGCCATGGGTGTTATTGCAACGCGTAGGAGGCCGGGTTTGGGTTCTCTAGCTCGGGCCAGGGCGTTGTTTTGAAGGTCGTTTGAGTCAATCGGACTTCGATCGGCGAGGAGACTTGGTTGAAGATTGGTCATCCCAGTGCTTCGTAGGCTGATTGGCTTTCTAGCAGACTAATCTTTACTTCTTATGCAGGAACTGAAGCTCTTGAATTGTTGATTTTGTCTACATTACAACCTGCGGTTTTAGGGTTGCAATTTGCTTGCTGGCTTCTGGTAGTGGCAACGTTGCAGCCTGTGGTCTAGTGGTTCTTGAGGCTCTGGGTTTCTCTGTAAGTCTTTTCCTTCTCCCATTCAACTTTAGAGCTTAATGTCAGTCAAGAATGCAAATTTGAAGAGATCATTAGAGATTAGCTACTCCGACGATAACACGAGAAGAACCGACATCCGAGGCAACGAGGTAAACCTCACCCTTCAAGTGGTCATCATCGTCGGATGAGAACAATCAATGATATTCTAAGGATTGCAGAGTGCTCTAGCGGAACGTGTCGGTATGGTGGACGCACGAAGCTAGTCTCGTTATGTATGATTTAGAAAATTTTGTTGGAATCAAACTTGTACTCTGAGACTTGAATGCCCGTTTAACGGGATGTTTTAATAATAGTAAATATTTTTTAAAAAATAATAATAATAATAATAAAAGAATTTCAAAATTTTCAAAGTTGATTAGAATTCATCTCCCAATAACTCCCCCATAGATTTTCTATATTGTTAAGGTATTTTTTGTATACTTATGAAAAAAATTAACTGATAATATTTGAATTGATTAAATTTTATTGGTAGATACTTGTTGAAAAGTGTATAGAAAAAAAATTATAAACATTTATTATATTTTTAATAAATGTGAATAGTTTAGAAAATCTTACTTTCGGGAAGGAGGTAGTACAATCTAATTTTATTCTCAGGTCCTTTAGATTTTACATACATGTGTACATACACTCATTTATAAAGGTAGTTAATTGGATCTCCAGCTTTTAAATTCTTGACATATATACATGTGCTATGTAGTTCCAGATCTTGGAAGTAAGAAGCATTTTTTTCTTTCTTATAATTACTTTCGTATACTGAACAGATCACAGGGAAGGAGATGAAGTGAATCACTTGATGAGAATACATCTCGTTGGTACACCTTCTGCTCAAGGCAATCTCATCGGCAAGCAATGAAGCGAGTACACTCCTACCTCCACATCATCCAGCTTCAGCGCTTCCACAGGGATTATATCCTGAAAATCATATGCCTCGTCTCACTTTTGACACTCCCTACTTAACCAACCAATGATCTCCACAACTTTCTTGTCTAGTGAAATTAGAGTATACTCACCCGTTGTTCGAGTATAAGTTTGTGCATTTCAGTCGCCTCCTCATAAGCAGCAAAAGAAAGATAATCCAGCCCTGAGATTCCACGATGTAGAGTAGTAGAGTACTAAATACACTTAAGGAAACACAGGGACCAATTAAATAAAAAAAAACTAGAAAACCCATCTCTTTACCAATAAGTTTGATATCTGTATTCTCAACCAACCATTTCGCCCCATCCAACATGAATCTAACAAAGCTGGACTCGAACTCTTTCTCAAACATAAGCCGCCTGAATAAACTCAACAACAGTCAACAGAGAGAGAGAAAAACAGTTATTAGATTCGAAACAGGAGTAAACATTTTCTTTGAGCTCATAATCAGATTTGAAACTTACCTGTGAGTGTTCAATGTTCTAAAGAGCACACGACGAACTCCCTTTGGAATATGAAGTGATCTCATAACCTCAGCTATTTAATTCAACCAAAAAAACATTGGACAGAGATCATCTTCTTAAAACTATTCATTGTTATAAAATTCTCAACTCACCAGTGATATTCTCATCCCTTGGAACATCAACCAACAAAGCAGGGCCTACAGAAATTTTAAACAAAATGATCAGATCAAAACCAAAAAATAGAAACCCGCAAAAGAATACTCACCGTTTAGGACTTGGAGGTCAAGCGAATCAGAATCGAAACCAGCGTCGTAATACTTGTCATGTCGATATTTTAAGAAAGAATGAAGTCATTGACTATGATTTGATGAAACTGACTTTGTCCTAATTAGTGACCTAAACGTGAAGGACTCTTTTTTTTTTTCTTTTTCTCAAAAGGACTTTGCATTAGGCCAAACTGATCAGGCAAACAGACAGGGTAGTACATTAGAACCGAACGAAGTGCTTGAAAATATTATTGAGTGGGTTATTTTTTCTCGACTAAATTTCTATTAAAATTGTAATAGAATTTGAAGATTTCCACGTGCATATAGAGTTACGGAACTCTTTGGCAAAGCGTTTGAAGGTACAGAACTATTCAGGTGCATATAGCGCTACTGAACTCTTCACTAGACAACTTAAACAAGCTAGTAAAGTTGAAACAAAGGTCTTGAGAAGAGGCAAACCTTTGGGACAGGTGAGAGGGTTTTGTTTAGGTTGGATTGTAATTAAGATAATTCGGGGAGGGTATTACAGTATTAGAGAGGTTGGAGGCTATAGGTCAACTCAGAATAAAATCCATTATAGTCCCGATGAAAAAGATAGAAAGCCAAAAACCAAAAAAGAAAAAAAAGTTCAGCTTTTGACTCAAACAAATCGATCCAACCATGGAGTTATCAGCACTAAAACATCCAATTCACAAACATCTTTTGTACCCTTCAACTCAATTTCTCTTTGCTGATTGCGAAGGTTGTCGTGTAGGAGGTTTCATCTACGGAGGCTATCGTTGCAATGAATCTAAATGTTACAACGATTCTGTTTGGTTCCATAAGGAGTGTGTCGAGTCACCATTGGAAATCAACCATCCTTGTCATCCTGAACATCCTCTTTTTTTCACCGAGCAGATAGGTTGGAAAACGTGTCATCTGTGCGGAGTTGAATACATCAGAGGTGGTTATTGCTGTGCGATATGCGGTTTTGTCATAGATATGGCTTGTTCACTAAAACCACTGCCTCCTCCAGTTATTGAGCATCCAATGTTTCATGAGCATTCACTTGTCCGCACAAAGAAAACAGTGTACGCGTATCCTCTTTGTAAAATATGCAATAATGGTATTAATGAAGAACATGCCTATGAATGCCTTACTTGCAGAGATGTTAATTTTCACTTGGACTGCGTCAATCAGTCAAGAGAGGTAGACCATTCGTCTCATTCAAGTCACGTTCTTGAGTTCTTCACATCTGAATCACTTTTAGAAAACGCTGAGAAGACGTGTATTTTGTGTGGAAAAGAATCAAAACATGTGCTTTATCATTGTTCTAAATGCAACTTCAGCATATGTTTTTACTGCAAGAGGAATCCTCCACCACTCACTGTTGAACATACCAAGACCCACAAGCATAAGCTCTCCCTCTTGGCAAGACGAGTCTCGTTTACTTGTAATGTTTGTGGGTTGCAAGGAGATCGAAGTCCTTATGCATGTATTGAGTGCAGTTTCTTAGTTCATCGAGAATGCATTGACTTGCCTCGCGTCATAAACATCAACCGTCATGATCACCGCATCTCTCTCACTGATCATATTGGGCGTGGGAATCTGAAGTGTGGAGTCTGTCACAAAAGTGTTGATCAGTACTGCGGAGGTTATACTTGCTCCATTTGCCCTGATTTTGTTGTTCATTCGTCATGCCCAATAAAACACAATGTGTGGGATGGAATAGAACTCGAAGGGATCCCTGAAGAAGAAGTTATTCCTCCTTTCGAGGTGGTGGGTGATAACTTGATAAAGCATTTCAGCCATGATCATCATATTCTTAGACTAGAGAGTACTGATGGTACTACAACTCGTGATGAAAAAACAAGATGTGAAGCATGCGTCTCTCATGTCTATTCTGATCCGGTCTACAGCTGTGAGCAATGTGATTTCATCCTCCACGAGACATGCGCGAATCTTCCAATGAAAAAACGACTTCCGTTTTGCAACATACAATTCAAACTATCTGCTCCTGACATGGATTCATACAAAGCCTTTGAGTGTGATGCATGTAAAACAATATTTAGCGGTTTCAGGTACGTGGCAGGTGGAATCAATATTGATGTACGTTGCGGTACGTTTTCAGAACTGGAATCCTATGATTTCCATGACCACCCTATATATTATACTCATAAGAATAATTATCTGAGGTGTCGAGCATGCCAAAGACATTTGCCACTAGATATGCTCACTTGTTATGACTGTGACTTTGAGTTGGATTTCCGATGCTTTAATTTGCCAAGGGTGGTGAAGTATAAAGATGATGTGCCTCCTCTTTCCTTATGTTATGGCGAAGAGGATCCTAGTGGTAAATACTGGTGTGATATTTGTGAGGGTGAAACAAATCCGAAATACTGGTTCTACACTTGCTCTCACTCTGGGGTCACACTGCATGTCCAGTGTGTTCTTGGAGATTTCTCTTTTCTCATGCCAAGACGCATAATGCAATACTTTGGGGATTGGAAAATTGAAGTGGTTCCTAACAACCACTGTTCTCGCCCGTTCTGTGCTTGTTGTCAATATCGATGTATAGGCCCTTTCTTTCTGAAGATTTCTAATCCGGAAATCATTTACATTTGTTCTAGAAAGTGTTTTAGACGTCAGCTATCCTTGTTGATCCATGTTCCCAGTGGCAAGATCCTTCACGTGTGAGAAAGCAAAATCCACGTTATGAACACTACGTCTTCTCTTTCTATGTTATGGACTTGTGGTATTCTCATTTTAGTCTCATATTATTTTCAAATAATTAAGTGGTGCTCTGCTTCCTGTTCCTGGTTTGTAGGACAGAGTAACGCACGTTCTATCTCCATTATGCCTTTTCAGTCCATGTTTCAGTTGGTTTGTGTATGAACTATCATATTTGCTATTATAGTTATTATAAACACTAGAATCTCTCTCTCCTTGAAGAAGCAAGTCATCGAGATTTACTCCGCCAGGTTAAGTAGTCTTCTTTACTTCTGGACTCGCCTAATGATCGGCCAAGTAAAGAGAGTAAAGAGACTCGTATATTGTTCGTACACTCCATTCTTACATCATATTAAAAGTTACAGTCTAATTTTATTCTCGCGTCCTTTAGATTTACTTACATGTGTACATATACTCATTTATTAAGGTACTCAAGTGCATCTCCAACTTTTAAATTCTTGACAATAGATCCAGATTTTGGAAGTAAGAAGCTGATAAGTTTTACTGTATCAAACTTGTTAAACAGAGATTAAAAAGGAAACGCTGATTATATTGATAATAGTAACTGGTTACAAGTAACTTTGAGATAATGGAGTTCTCTCACCTCCCCATGACATGAATGATCAACAACTTGATAAAAAATATCTCTAACTCTCATCCCAGCTTATTCTAATTCTTTTGCTTCTCTTAGATATAGCATTCGTAACAGAAGCATTTTTGTTCTTTCGTTTACTGAACAGCTGACAGAGAAAGAGGTGAACTGAATCACTTCTGTTACGAAGATCAAAAGGTTTATGTTTCTTTTGATTGATTCACATCATAGTCACCTCTTGATTCAATATTCTTTTTTGGGGACAGATTTTCAAATATCTTAGCTCTCTGGATGTTGAGGATGCCAAAGATGTGAAATCTGGATACTCTATCACTTTTGTAAGTTTATTTGTATCATTTTCATATCTCTGGTGAAAGTTTGATTGCAAATTGTACAGTAAGAAGTTCCGTCTTCTGACCTTGTTTGTAGCATAAAAGGAAGGTTGTCGAAAACATGTCGCTTCTTTCGAGGAAGGTTAGCGCATTTTGCGTGAAGAATGAAACTGCATTGCTCACAACTGTAGAATGGTTCAGAACAAATCTGGAACGCACATGCTTCACAAATCGTGCTCTCTTGGAGAATCTTGCCGTCCGTGTTGACTCGTAAGTTATGATCATGGCTGAAATGCTTTATCGTGTTATCATCAACCACCTCAAATGGTGCAATTTCCTCAGGCTCTTCGGGTGTCCCTTCTAGCTCAACCATGTCCCATACAAATTTATCCGTTGCACATAGTGAATGAACAGCAAAACTAGGACATTTGGCGCATGAATAAGCTCCATAGAACCCATCCATTTCTTTACGACAAACTCCACATTTCCACTTTCCTTGTCCAAGACGAGGGGTGTAGGAGATACGGTGGTCGTGGTGTTTATGACACGTGGTAGATCAATACACTCCCAATGAATCATGAAATTGCATTGAAGACAAAAATAAGGGCTTTGCTTACCAGTTGTCCCACAAGCATTGCAAGTAAACTCAATGTGTCTAGGAACAAGGTGAAGCTGATGCTCATGGGTTGTTGGGCTTACAACACCAAGTGGTGGTGGGTTTCTCACGCACGATCTGCATACGGTGAAGTTGCAAACATCACAGTGGTGGAGTCCTTCATATAATGTTTTCCCGCAGAGAATACATTCTGTGTCGGCATAATTGGGTGCTGCTTTACGCTTTATGAACTTGAGTGAGTGTTTGGAGTGGGAAGTGTGGTATGCCTCTGGAAGAAGTGTGACACATTCTATGTGAAAGGACAATTTACATTGAACACACACATATTTAATTCCATCCACATAACCTCGAAGATCGCATGCTTTGCAATTTACGTCCCTACCAAACCTTGTTTCCTAGGAGAGTTCAAGTGGATGCTCGTGCACGCTGGGCTTTGCAAGAATAGGAAGTGAAGCTCCTCCCATAGCACAATTGAAATCCAACTTGAAACCACAAACTGAACAAGAATAGCCAGAACATAAGCCATGTCCACCACATAAACTACATGAAAACTTAGAATAGCTGAAGAACTTGAGAGGATGGTAGGGATGAGAAGAGTGGTTGATTTCTGGTAAGGACTCGCCACATTCTTTACGAAACACAACGTCACAACATCCCAACTCATTGCAACGGTAACCTCCGTAAGTATAACCATCTAAACCACACACTTTACAATAACGAATGTAATCAAATCGTGTAAAGGGCAACAAAGGATGCTCGTGAAATGATACCTCTAGCCTTTCCATTGTTATGTTTTAATTTCCAGAATCCGAAGCTCGACTCTTCTGCTGTGTCAATCTTTTCAGATTCTTCTTTGTTAATGAGTTTTGCACTCACAGTAACCAAATCAAGAGCACATGAAATGATTCTTTTGCCGTTGAGATCTCGTGATTCACGAGGATATATGTAAAGCAAGAGCACATGAAATGATACTTTTCCCGAAGAGATAGCGTGATTCACGAGGATAAATGTGGCATTTTGGTAATTAAAGGGCTAAGAGATGGCATATGAGCAACACAATGTGAAGTTCAAAGTAAGATTCTACACATTGTCGTACAAAAATTCCCGTTATACTTTGAAAATTACAGAACTTAAACCCTGTGTGACAGAAAAAAAAAACAGAAGCGAAAACCCTTTTCTAAAGTAGAAGGTTCTTCATTCTTACTTCCCAAGTTTCCTTAAGACTTCAATAAAATCAAAGAAAAAACAATCTCACTGAACAAGGTTATTCTTCCTAGGATCTTTTACTTCTATCTCCCAATGCCTATCAGGCAAACTACTGTTCTTAGCGATTTTCCTCCACTTCTCAATCCTAAACTTCATTTTCTTATTCAAACCACAATAACCTTGCAACTGCTCTGGCATCTTGTCATAGACTTTCCACCATTTTTCATGCACTGAATCGCTGGCAAACGCGTGCCTTAATTCCATGTCCCAATTGCAATCATAGTCTCTATAACATACCCATGGCTTCAGTCCCAAGTAGTGCACACCCTCTATATTATCTGGAAGATCACGTGGTCCTTTGATATTTTCGTCAAAGAACTTCAATGTATTCACCCGGTTCGATAACCTGTGCCACCATACAAAGATCTCATTGAGGAATCCCTGGTCTCCTCCATTGTACGATTTCATCTTGGAGGATTTCTCCATTAGATCTTTAAATAAACATGCTGATGGCTCAAGAACCTGGTGCAAAAATAATAATAAGACACAAAGGTCATTTTCTGCAGTGAATAAAGAAAATTCGAAGAAAAAAAAAAATGTTGAATTATCTAGAATCAGCAAAGGTGTGTTGCCTGGATAAATAATTTTTTAGAAAATGTTTTCACCAATTACGGAAAATGAAAAATAGGTTAAGATATCGACTTCTACTTCCTGGAACATTTCACCAAATTATTTGTAAACATAAATATTTTGAAAGTTTACCTGAAACTTGAAACTGTAACCGAAAACTAAAACTCGAAACTTAAAAAAATATTCGGAATACAAAAAAATATCCAAAATATCCAAACATATCTAATATACACAAACATTAATTATGTACTTTGGATATCTGATAGGGTATCCAGACTCAAACAAAAATCCACATGTCCAAAAAAAAACTTCATAGGGATTTTGTCTTGAGCTCGGATCCGAACCAATATAGAATCATCATTAGTCTGTATGTATTTTTTAGTGAGATTTTAGTAAAAAATAGATTAAGATTACGGAAAATATTTTTTTTAGAAAACCTTTTCACCAATTACGGAAATGAAAACTAGATTAAGATATCGACTTTTATTTCCTAGACCATTTAACCAAATTATTTGTAATTAAACATAAATATTTGGATTACCATGATGCCGGAGTTGAATAACATTTGGTCGTTGCCTGCAGCTGAGAGTTGTGGATAGTAGAAGAGATGATCAAGCTTCTTTAAGATGATGAAATCTGCATCTATGAACAAAAGTTTATCATAGTCTGTTACTTGCCACACACGCAATTTGCTGTAGTTCCATTCATTGTAAGCGTCCTTCTCCGCGAAAGGGCTGCGGATTCTGTCAATTAGCCGAAGAGTCCAACCTGCAGAGCTGAGACCGATAAGGGACCTGTTTGTTATGGACCGATCGTGGAGGAGAATCATGTCCTTATTTGATCCTGATTGTCTTATGCTTTGTGCTAAGGCTATTGCCCCACAAACATAGGCCTCGGACGAGTGTAGTACTGTTACGTAGGCCACTCGATGCTTATTGATTGCATCGGATGTAAGCTTATCTTTATCTTTAGGTCTCCATGCTTCTTGGCCTGTAAATGATAATAGCTCAAAAATCACGAATGAGGTAATGAACAATGAATATCTTTATTAAAAAAAATAAGCAAAGAAGAAGAAAAATGAAAAGATAAAAATCTGGTGAATAAGTTTGTGGTAAGCATGTTTTGGTTAAAGTAATGTCGTTATACCAATCTAGTTAGTACTTGTATATTAAATTGAGGAAATGCATATACTGTGCAGCACGACCGAATCGCAACAACCATTAACCTCATATTACTTATTTTCCATTAAACCAAGTGACGGTTATCAGTAATGATCCACCAATAAAACTATCCAATAGAACTTAATTAACAAAAACAAAAAATGCACTTATGTGAGATGAAGCAGTCTCTACATTTTAACATTGTTACTGATTTCAATACCAATTAATCATTATCAGCCTCTTACATATGATGGTTACATGATGATGAAATATATATGTGTTAAATGTAGTTCTTTTACAGAAAAAGGTAAAATGTAAAAAAATCTTAAATTTTTGTTGTATATATGATGAGATAGAAATGAAAAAAATCATTAATTCATAAAAAATAAAAAATATTTTTTTTATAACACCAATAAATAGATCTTTTTTGTCTAAAATTTATTTCTTTTTTTTGGTCAAATCTAAAATTTATATCTGAAAAAAGAAAAATAAAGAGTGGAAAGAATAAAAAAATTACCAAGTTGAGCAAATGGAGAAGCAATGTGACATGAACCAACAGGCATGAGAAGCTTCTGCTTCAACCTTAGCAGATTAGGCTTATACACCCAATAATCATCAACGCGCCTCACGCGCTCATCGCACTTGAAGATCTCATGCATGGGCCCACACGACCCGACGAACACAACGTACACCGTCGAGTCAACCTTCCTCAACCCACTCTTAACCGCTAGATTCGCCGCAGCCAAATTAACCTGAAGCCTGAAAACATCTCTTAGTCCTTTATTCTCCGACCAACCATCGCATGGAACCTTTGCAACTATGACATCCACGTCAGCATTAGAACCCTCCAGCTTAGGGAGAGGGATCTCGGGGCATTGAGACTTTTCCTCGTCTATCCACTCAGGAAAAAGACTACTCCAAGTAAGATTCTTCGGAAGAGGATCAAGCGACACGTGGACGTTCTCAAGAATGAACTGACCATTAGCCTCAAAGCTCTCACGCTCTTGCTCTTCGATGTTAAGGAGCCCTATTCGGATTTTCTTTGCCGGTAGATAGTCACGGACATGTTGGAGCCATGTTGGGTTTTTGCTGACTATCGGAGGAGGAAGATCAATCCGTATATCGGACGATGGATCAGAAGTGATGATTTGGTTTGAAAGAGAAAAAGGTTTAAAGGAAAATATCAAACCTACAAGTGAGAATGAGATTAGTATTAGATAGACCATGAAGATTTTCCCTCTAGAATGATTTTGTGTTTTTGCCCCCATCTTTGAATCTCTCTCCGTTACGTTTCTGTACCTATAATTCTTTGCACGCATCTTCATTCTACTAATACGTGAAGCTATATATGTGTGTGTGTATGTGTTAATTCCTGCGTGTTGGTGACATGACTGATTTGCATGGACGCACGTTGGTCTGAAAGTCAATCTGTTTCTCTCTGACTGTTTCGTTCGTATGATTATAGTTTTCTAGAAATCTTAAATATTATTATTGGAGGTTATATATTAGGCGAATAATGTAATCAAACGCGCTTTTGATGGTTGATAAGATTCTTGTTCACTTCACACCAACGTTCTTAAAGAAAAAAACTAGCCAAAAGATAGAAGATGAAAATAAAAACTATTATAGGGACATATAAAGAAAAATATCAAACGTAAGCTGTTTATGTTCCATCTTAAAAACTGAGGGATTTGTTTCTGTATTGGTCTGATATATCTTCTGTTCTGACACAAGTCAAAATCATTGACACGAATTCATTTTTAACGTTTTAGGATGGTCTTTTAATCCTCAAACATGAAATAATAAGTGAAAATTGAGCGGGAAAAGTCGGATTAAGTATAAACATATATGATATATCTAACCAGTTGTCTAAAGACTTTGTTTAAATAAAATATCGATGTAATGTAAAGAGTAAACTTTTAGAAGTTAGTTAACAAATTAAGCAAATATCAAGAATATAAATTTCAAAATCTATGTAGATATTGTGTAATAAAACAGTATATATATTACTACCATATTATATGAGGATTAAAAGCAAATAGAAAAGATAAAATAGTAAGATATATAAGAAAATTATACTACATATATTGACTAAATTTATTTAAATTTAATTTTTGGATACACTTGATCTCTTGTCTCTATTTATGGTACATCTCAATTTGTAATCTAGGTTGGTTCCAAAACTTAACCTTTTCTCTTTATTATACCCTTCAATAAATGTATTTTATTAACTGAATTTCTTATCTCCAGATGGTAAAGGTGCTGGATCTATATAAGTTTTCAAGTCAAAACATCAATCAATTTCTTAAATTCGATTTAAAACAATTTATCAAGTTGGATGAAACAAGTACATGTGTATTTATTACTAATGCACAACATACGATTGTTAAAGTTTGATATCCATAACAATCTATATAAGTGATCTTATTTTATTTTTTGTTATTTTTAAGGACAAACAATTATTCAAGTATGGGAAAGTTTATACACCTTTATGTTACATATAAGTACTACAAAACATTAATATTATTAGCGGTAAATATAACATCTGTGTAAGTTATGTTTGTAAGATCACCGATAGATTGTTCTAAATCTTTGTTTTAGATAATCGTATGTTGTATGCAAGTAATGTGATACATATATATTTGTCTTGTAATCGTCCATGCAAAAACATGTTAATTGATTCTTGAATCTAAATTTCTCAAATAAACATTACAAACACATATCCAAAAAGAAAATTTCATAAGGTACATTGGTTTCATCCAATTTATAAACTTATTAACTCGAATTTTAAAAAATTGATTGATATTTTGATTTGAAAAAACGAAAAATATAACTTTTTATTTCTCAACTATTTTCAGTCAGCGCATTTAATATTTAAGTAACCTGTATAAAATTATTTCCAAACTAATTTTTCATTCTCTCATAATTCTAAAAGGTACAATTTTGTTAAGCTTACAGTTTACTGTTATTAACTAATAAAAATTTCATCAAAAACTTAAAATATGTATCTTTTTAAAGCAAACAGTTTTATAAAACATTTATTTTGAGGAGTGGAAGAAATATTAATATTTTTGGAACACAGCAAAAATTATTTTCTGTTTTTACACTAGGCTGCACAGAAGCTTAGTCCAATGGCTGTTTCTCACTTCGAAACTGGAATGAGAATCAGAACTCTGTGAAAGTTGATGGAATCGATTCCAAAATGTTTCTAAAATATCATATTGAAAAATATGTTGGAAGTGGAAAAAAAAAACAGGTTCGAAGCTTATGATTTCCTTTCAAAATCATCCCGTTTAAAATATAATATATTATATAAATAAAAATATAAAATGATATTTTATATTTTAAATAGAGATAGAGAGAGAAATAGAAATGTGAAAATATTAAAAAAAAAATAGGAAGCGAGAATAGACACATACTTTCCACCTTACCAGAAAAAGACACACATTTTCCACATTATTTTTAGTTGAGAGAAAGACAGAAAAAATCATTATCTCCCAGACAGAGAGACACTATTAGCTTGTGTGGAACGACAACTGCGATTTGCATCCTCCGATCACTTCCTTCAGTAGCCATGCCAACTGGCGATTGCTTCCATTGCCACAAGCCAGGTCACTGGGCGAATCGTTGCCCTCTCAAATCCACCACCACCACAGTCGCCGCAGATTCTCCTCCGGTCATTCACTGCCCCTGCGACCGCGCTTGCGCCGTTTTGACTTCTAAAACAGTGAAAAACCCTAACAGGAAGTTCTACAAATGCTCAGCAGTTAAGTCCTCTCTCTCTCTCTCTTTCTCTTACTCTGAGTTCTATCTCGCTATCTACTGATCTCTGCCGACATTTTAGGTCCCAAACTGCAAATTTTTCAAATGGTGCGACGAAGTGAGTCTCGAATCGAAGCAGGCGGTCTCCGACAACCCTACTTGCCCTTGTGGCTCTGGTCTCGCTAGAAGAGTAACTGTCACTGATGGACCAAACGCTAACCGTTCATACTTTGCTTGTTGCATTAAGAAGGTGACAAAACCAATCTCTTTCTTGTTCAGAATTTGAATCGAAGGTTCTTCTTAGTTTTAAGCATTGATCTTGGTAGGGTTTCGGAGCTTGTGGATTCTTTCAATGGGAGGACGATGCTCAAGAACAAGTAGGACTTAATGGTTCTCCTTGTTCTACATTGTCTGATTTTTCGGATGTTGTTAATTCACTACCTAATATTGATTTGAGTTCTGATGCTAGTGTAAACCAAGGTATTATTATTATCTCTGTTTTGTTTTTATTTAAGAGAGTTTCTCAACATAACATTTTGTTAGTTTTATTACTCTTTTTGGCTGATATTTGATTAGTTTATCTACGTAATATTTTGCTAGTTTTACTATTTTTAGTTGATAACCGAAACCCTGATTGTTTTGATTTAATTACAGAATGTAAAGATGTGGTTAGTCTTCAGACAAGAGAGGAAGTGCTCCCTTCACTTGCGTCGACACATAATGAAACTCAAGGAAAGGATTTGTGTAATTATTACACAACAAATAGTGATGATACAGGGTTTCGTGGTAAAGAGAGATATGCAACGAGTCTTTCTGAGAACATCATCAATCCAGTTTCCACTAAACCAACCTGTCAATCTACTACATCTATTGAAACCGAAGCCTCTTCCTGCTCCTCTTTGATGGACCTCATTGAGCAATATAACTCGGAGAAGCTCCATTTCGAGAGTGTTTCTACGAAACATGTTGATGCCTTGTCCGCTTTTACGGGTTCGTACAAGATATTAAAGTCTCTTCGTGATACAGCACATAATGTGAAGAAACAAGTGGTTGAAATAGAGAATCAGGTGAAGCTTTACGAAGCCAAGACCTCAGAATTTGCAGCAATTCTTCTAGAAGTCTGTGGTGAAATGACGAAATCGCAGAGTAAAATGGTGGAGACGGCAAGGAGAGTAGTGAAGGAGCTGGGAGTAAAGGAAATCTGCAGCTCCGTAGACAACATGAAGCTGAAAGGTACAAGGAAGTGAGGATGAACTAATTATATATATCTTGCAGTTGAATGTTTATATAATATTTACAACTAAATAAAAAAATAACTGAAGATGTATAATCCAGTAATTAATGTTCTATAAATTAAGCATTTTAGAACTTGTAAAAGCTGAATCACATAACTTTCACTTAGCACAGAGACGCCATTGAATATATGACCGCGACAGCATAAAGAAAAACGAATTGATTATATTAATTTATTGCTTTGTTCGAACAAAACAAATCATCTGTAAAGCTTATGAAATACTCAATTAATGATATACTACCAAAACCCATTCGATATAAGGCATACAATAAAATGACCCAAACCATCTTAAATATTATAAACAAATAATAATATATGGACGGATCTACGTTTTGGTAGAAAAATGCTCTCCTGTGACCATGGCTTTGTATGCCGCGTGAGTAATGAAACGTTTTGTCTAAAACCCAGCAAAAAGACCGTGGCCGGCAAGGTCAGGTGAATCGCGGCTGATCACATTGGCCCATAAATTAGCAAGAGACACCAAGTAATGCTCTCCGTTCCACTCCACCATCTTAAGTCCTGGTTCAAAAACCCGAGTAGTATTTATATATCTAAAACATAGGCTTAGGTATTTTGGTTCTGGTTGGGTTTTTTATAAAATTATCCCACACTACAACCAGAATCTATTTAGGTGTAAACTTTGGTATGGTTTGGGGTCAAAATTACCCTACACTATCCAAAACCTATAGAGGAAATTTTAATTAGAAACAATGTTCTTAATGGACTTCGGTGAATTTGGTCAAGTTTTCAACAAAATTCTGGTTCAGGTCATAATTAAATTCCGTTAGGGTTTGGATCGATGATCTTTCTTAATGCAATTGCTAGAAGAAGCGTACCTTGTACTATTTCAGTATTTAGGCCAGAGATGGAGCAGCTAGGTGATGTATCTGAGGTGATGCAGGCGTGAAGTGTGAAGGCGTCAACTTCGTTTATACATCTGATTGATTCTAGAAGTTGATCAGCAGAATAATCACGGTCAAGTCCTTGATAACGGTTGATATTATTCCGCAGAGCTTCTTCTAAACCAGAGCTTAACCACAAAACCACACACTCGTCCAAAACAGCCAACACACTAGATGATGTCGGAGATAATAAAAGCCACGGTTTATATAGTCTCGTCGAGGCTCTCAGTAAATTCACTACTCTGTAAATTTCTCCTACTGAAAGAAGATAGCGCTTCCCTGTTCAACACAGAATAAGAAGGTATGAAAACCAGCGTAATACAAAAAGATTAATGTGATAGCAATGGTTGGTACCTTGAGGTTTAGATAAGATTTCTTCTTGAACATCATTTTGAATCACCTGTTTCCAAATAGATGCAGCATGTCGCAGTTCTTGAGCACAGGTCGAAGCAATGGCCAACCAGGTTGAAGCGTATTTGGTTTGTTGCTCATGTGAACCCAAGTTTAGGACCTTCAGGGTCAACGTGGCGTGTTTGAGAAGTTCAATCGTTGATTTCCAGTCCTTCTCTGCCTATCAAAATCATGTTTAATTATTTCTTCCGTATAAATATTTTCACTTTAGAATTGAAGGGTAAAGAGAAGGTCGAACAGAACTTAACTAATAACAATCTTTCTGACAGGAGATCTTCTGAATCAACTGTTCGATACTTTGGCTCTTGGAGAACTTTATAAAGTTCAGTAGTGCCAGATGATCTAACTTGGAGACTTTCTACGTTGACCTCACCGATCAAAACATCATTTTTCAGCATGTTTTGCAGATCCTAGAAGAGAAAACACCATTGAATTAGCAACACTTATCTGTAAAGAGTCTTATATGTTTTCTTCTATTTTTGCATTCTAATAACTACATATATGTCTGTAGCATTCCCATGATTGGCATACCTGTATTTCATCGTCATATTTTTGAGTTTCAGCGACTTCATCAGAATTAGCAGCCAAGTCACGAGCTTCCTTCAATATCCAATAGCTCAAATGATGTCACGAAAATCAAAAGACGGGATGTTCAGAGAAAAGTGTTACACAAAAAAGTCTACTTACCTTTAAAGTCTCAAGATGACTTAGGGCAAGGTAGTATAGTTCAGTCTTCAGCTTATGAAAGACATCTCGGTAATCATTAGGCTCTATGGTTATTACTGTTTTTTCATTCGATTTTCCAAAACCATTTGGAACAGAGAACCCATTCCCAACTTCATTTTCCACTGAACTCTCTTTAGATTCCCAGACACCATTATCTCCTTTCCGCGAAGTATAATCTTTCACAGGCTGTGTTGGACCTTGAAATTCCCAGGAATCATCGTCAACCTCATCCGCAACATCAGAGTTTTTTAAGGGCAGAGAAGGACCTTGAAACTCCCAACTACTGTCAAAATCATCACCATCTTCTGCTATGCTAGAATCTGTTTTGGTATTTGTGGGGCCCTGGAACTCCCATGAATCATCCTCACCATTTACAATGTTAGGCGTTTCTGACAAGTTTGCAGCATTCTTCTCCTCCACCTGACTGTATAAACTTGATATCAGGTCACTGATGGACACAGTTTGACTTGGAGCCTTAGTTTTCTCTCTCACGGAGAAATCAGAGACTGAAACCGGATTATCCTCATGAGCCAAATTATCAGAGGTTTCCAATGTCTCATCCTCAAAAAACGACAGTGGCAAGGCTCCCTTTGGCTTGTCTGCCTGCACTGCGTTTTCCTGAGTGCAAAATAAAGAGCACTTACATAAAGCTAAGCTTCAAATTTGCATAACATAAAAGCAAGATATATCAATGAAAGTCAAAGCAAATTTTATTACCGTTTAAAATATACGTATTAATGATTTTGGTAAGAAGAAACCAGGAGCAGGTTAAGCAAAGTTACAGATTTTAGTTACCATGTCAAACAAAGTACATTAAGTAATACTGATATCGCAGATTAACCAAGCTTAAATAAAACTACCACCAAAAGTCAAAACACTTCATTTGAAAGCCAGCGGAAAAAATATTGTAAAACCCATATATAATCAACATTCTGAAACAAGTTGACTGTGGACTATAAGATACAATACCTCTTTCTCGTTTCCCTTTTCTAAAGATGACTGATTAAAAGCCCAAGAAGATCCTCCAGGATTCACATTTGTATCACTTGGAAATGAAATCGAGCCATTTTCCTCCTTATGCATATCTTTCTCAGGGTTCGAACGATAAGAAGTGGTTGCTTCAACCTCAGAACCATGTTCAAAACCAAACCCGAACCCCCAACCGTTAGATTCCTGTAACCACACACACACACAGAGCAAATAAAGTTTGTAGCATCAGCCAATGCAAGTATTGTGTGTTTACAAAATGAAGCTTGTACCTTGTTTGTTAAATCCTTCTTCGTCTCAGCAAACTTAAACTCCCATCCACCATTACCCCAAGGATCATCATCATCATCATCTCCATTTTCTTGTTTACCCGTCTCAAGATTTGTACCTATTCCAGTTATTGGTGAACTCCACAAGCTTGAATCAAATCCATTTCTAGCATTCTCTTGTTCCTCCAGCTTCACAATACAGTTAAAGCAAAACAATATTAGAACTATATAAAATTGCGAAAACATTAACGATATATTATACCTTAGAGCTTGGATCTAAAATAGACTCAGCAGTTTTAAATTCCCAACCCTCATCAACATCCTCCTCCTCATCATTTCTATTCTCAAAACTCAAATCTGAAGAAGCTGGATCCAAAATCACCGCATCGCTCGTCTTCTCAGATCTATCCGAATCAAGATTCAACGGATTCCAGCTAAAACTCTCAAAACTAACACCTGGATTTCCAATTTTCCTGCTCGGAGATAACTCTTTCTCATTTTTTCCATTGATCTCACTACGTTCATTCTCTCTATACAGATTCGCGATTACGCCACTTATTTCTACACTCGGAGGATTCGTATTCACACCTCTTTTCACAGATCCGTTATCGAACGAGAATTTAAAAACCGGCGCACCTGAATCATCATCCTCCTCCTCCTCCTCCGCCTCTCCGAACACGGAAAGTGGCACCGGACCACGAGGAGTGATCCACTGCGTCTGGCTCTTCGTCCCGGATTCGATCCGAGTCGGCGTCGAATCGGTAACGTCTCGATCTGCCGAGAAACCGTTCGGTTTAGGCGAAGAGTCGACGAACTCTCCCCAATCATCGTCTTCTCCGGTGGATGTGTCGGCTGGTGGAGAAGGGGAGAAGAAGAAATCGAGGCCGTTCATTCGATCGGAGAAACGGAGATTAACGGATGGATTTTGATACAAAGGTTGTTATTCCGTTTTGCTCGGGAGTTCGCTAGTGGGTGGGTGCGCAGGATAGCTTACCCTGCGCACTTGAATCTTTTGTACGATTTTCGAATTCCATTGCCATTCTTGTCGTCTTAAAATATCTCAATTGTTGGAGATCATTAATTAATTGGTATAATTTTAGGCCACTTTCCAGTATAATTCCAGCACAAATTTGTATGATATATAGAAGCTGTAGTAAAAGTATAGTATCCACTGAAATAGAATAAAGTAAGCATCATCTTTTGCTACGGCTATAAGAAAAAAAAAACGAACCTGAAAATCCACACCGATACGAAAAAGATGAATTTGAATCATATTAAACTCTACATAAACATTTGAATGAATCTTGTTTTATGATATTTCAAATTTTATGCTTTAATTGAACTGAACTCGGACCCAAATCCGAATAATTTTCCCAAAAAATTTCTGAAGCCTAACAATCAACCATAACAAATGCGAGGCATAAATTAAAAAAAAAATGATGAACCCAATTTTATTAGTGAAAATTGTCTAAATTTGCTGAAATTTTAAACTAATGTGTGTATTTTCAAATTACAAATAATTATGGATAACTAAAACACGAAGTAGGAATGAACCCGAATTTTACAATATCCAACGTATTATTATATCCAAATCGAATTTGAGTAAACCCGAACTGTATCAAAACTAAACTTTAAGAATATCTAAATGTAGTTTAATACATATTTTTGAAAAGCTGAAACCCGAATCCAAACCAAATTTTATTGGACATCAAACGTCTAGGTCTTTATTTTGCAACTAAAATAAATCAAAATATGAACCCTCAAATTTGACATTTTGACTTGGTTTTAATGGGTTTGTATATAAAACCAATAAAAAATCAACTATATCAAACCAAACTAAAAATCTGATTTAACCACATATCTGATTCGTTATCTCGCTTTGTAAACTTTGTTACAATTAAAAACATTCCGATAAACTCTAAATAATTTTTCTTTAAATTTTTGTGGGTTTCTTCACTAAATCTCATTACAAAGAATAAGCAATGGGTTGGTCGAGCAAGAGGGAAAGTTGTTGGTTTGCCGAAGAGATGCTGGTGAGGATAAAGTTTTGTATCGAAAAGTCAAAGTACAAACTAAATCATGCCGGCAAGATTATCAGTGTGAATTTGCAGTGAAGCAAAAGATAGTGTGTCATATCTACTTGACATTGTTATAATCGTATGTGTTATGAGAAGTGTCCTTCATGGCTTATCAACGATAACACACACAAATGATGGTTGAGTTATAAACTTTGGTGTGATCTATCATTTGATCTAGTCCATTCAAAAATAAATCTGAAAATTTTAGATATAAATTGAAATCTACTTAATAGTTATATTTAAAAATTAAGATGTTTAGATCTGATTTAGGTGAAGTATATATATATATATATATATATATATATATATATATATATATATATATATATATATGTTTGTAATAAATTAAAATAATTATATATCCTTTTTGTTTTATTATATGTATCATTTTAATTTTGTGTACACAGATTAAATAAATAGTTAATTTTGTATATTTTCTATATAAAAGTACAATTACTAATACACTTAACTAAATATTAACCAATAGAAAAATGAATTGTATAGTAGAATTAATAAATTTTGCATTGAAAACTGAAAATGGTACTCTCTCTGTTCCTAAAAGATTCATATTATAGTTTTTCACACTTTTTTATAAAGCAGAATAAATTTGCATAGTTTTTTGTATTTATCTTTTTTTCCATAATTTTAAACCAGTAAAAAAATAATTAGTGCAATTAAGTTTTTGAAGTTTACAATTAATTAATAAAACATGCATTGAAAATGTAAAAAATAGATCTTTTAGAAACAATTTTTTCTAGAATATGTATCTTTAAAGAACGGAGAGAGTATTTATTTTGTACGAAAAAATTCTCTATTATGATACTTAATATGAAACAGATAGAGTAATATATTAAAATTTACTCTAAATATTATCAATACTTTTAAATGTGTCTAAATATTTTATTGGCAATCAATTCTAGCCATTACAAAATCTAATTTTTTTTTTGAGAAAGGGCTATACAAAACCCTGTTGCACAACCAGATTTTTTCTATTACAAAATTTAAATAAAATATTATTCATTTCAAACAAATGCTCATTATCTTAATGAACATTAATTCAATATTTGGTCAACAAAAACAAACTATGATAAACACCACCGACATGACGTATCGATTAATACAATATTAAATGTAGTATTTATTTTCTGCAGAAGATTCCAATACCACTGCTCGATCCTCCGGTGCAATCAACAGTGTTTTGATTCAACGACAACGGCTCGATCTTGTCCAAACTTCTAGAGCCATGGGAGTAAACACAAGCATTACAGCTTGTCTCAAGAAGCGAAGATGTTCTGTAATTATCTTCCCCACCCACGACCGGCATAGCCACCCCTGGTTTCGCGGGATTCTTGAAATCCTCTCTGTACGTTCTTCCTAAAACACCCTCCACGTTCGGGGACAGCCTCAAGAACCGGAACTGAACTTCGAGATGGGCAAAACAGTCATTTTCAGGTATCCCGTATTTATGTACCGTGTCATCTTCCTTTGTAACTGGAACAACATTGACCCAAATCTCGGCAATGTCTGGTAACGTGACCAACACGGAGTTCATGTCTGAAGTTCTTTTTTTTTTTTTTTTTTTTTTTTTGTCAACATTCATGTCTGAAGTTCTCTCTATCTTTATATAGTTTCTTCCCGGTGGAGTCCACATAGACGAATCCCCTTTTGGTAATGAAATCTCTTTTCCCTCGAAGGAAAGACGGAGATGGTCTACTTGGTGGTCCCATTTCTCGGCCTTTTGGGCCTCGAGTGTGAAGGTTTTGTTGTCGGGACCGAAGATCAGACCCAAAGATTGGATCCAGGTGAAGTCTCTGGTTCGGCCAGAGGGTCTGAGACCAATGAAGCGTGCGTTGACTTGGAGGTCAATGTCGGAGACGAGTGCGAAATGCTCATCCCGTTTGCCGTGGAAGTAGAAAACGATGCCGTCGCCACCTATGAATCGTGGGTCTAAGCATGCTGATCCTCTGCCGTTGCAGTTAGGCTTTCTATCTGTTTTAAAGAGATTGGTTTATTTATGTAAGGATGTTGAATCCGATCCCAACTAGTCTCAAACGAACCAAAATATATAATGGATGCTAAAACCAGTTCTTATCTTAGTTTGATAGTATAATTCAAAAACTTACTAAGCATAAATTAGTTTAACTTTTTAAGTTTGAAGTTGAGTAAAGCCAGTTCTCAAAAACCAAAGTTTGAAGTTGAGTAATTTTGAGTTTATATCCTTTGTAAAATTGATAAATCAAAAAAACATCATTGAAAATCTTATGTATAAGATCGAGTTAATTTTTTATTATTTAAATAATTATTTCATGTATTTTTGTAACTTATTTAGCAAAAAAATATCAATCAATTATTTTAACAAAACAATTACATCAAGTTCACCACATAACTATATTTTTATTACATAATTTTTACTGCAACTTAGTTCGAACTATTACTCAATCTTAATATGTCGTCTAAAATGATTCATTCTGTTGTTGTTGTGAGAAGCTGAATCAAATACAAACCAAATACAACAAAATAAGAAAACATTTAAAATTATTCTTTAAAAACTGATAAAGAGTTAATGATATGTTTGAACTTTGACTACAACTCGAATCAAAACCAAAACCATAATCTTACGAAACTATCCACTTCAAATCAAATTTTAGTTTTACTTTCAATATTTATTATTCATAAACCAACTGATTATGAATAATCCAACCGAAATCTAAACGGAACATCATCCATTAAAAATTATGGCATATTTTTTACTTACTTCGGCAAGTAGCTTTGCATATAGGGTTAAAACAATCTACGACGCATGCCTTGGAGCTACCGTTGGGAGGGGAAAACGAAGGGCACTGCTTTGGGCAAGTCTGCTTCTTAAGGAAGCATGGACTCTTCTTTTGGAAACATGTCTTTGTTTCCGACGCTGCTTCGAGTTGTAAAATGACAACACACGCATAGAGCGTTAGTAACAATGTAACGTACAACCCATTGATGCGCTTTAGACCTTCCTTCATTGCTTTGACTTATCCTGGGAAATGAGTTTGTATTTCTATCCTCTCATGTGAGACTGTGACCTCTTTTTATAGAAAGCATGATGCTAGGCAAGTTGGAATATTTTTTAAAAGTCATATTTGATGATTCTTGTGTATATACACCGACACAAACACATATATTACTTTCTTATAAACGAAATCTTAATAGGTTTATTGTTGTGTATTGTTGTAATTAATTTTTGTTAAAGGCCGGGCTTTATATTGTTGTAATTTTGTTATTTAATTAAAAAAATTAAAAAGACAAATTTCTAAGATACGTGCATTGTTTCGATGGTGGCGTTCCTACTATAGTCTTTAACTAATTTTCATTGGGTTTATTTTTTTATTTTTAGTTCTCTAGTCAAATTGAATTATATTGGTGAACTTGAAATGGGATACTCTTGGTCCATAGCATACGTTGGAATAAATTTGGAGTGCATGTAACGTTTCAGAATCTTTTCATTCGTTAGTTCGTTACCAATTTTTTGAGCACTTTTATTTTTTTTTAAATGCTAATACGTGTTAATGACACGATGTCAGTGGAGAAGGTACTTCGCCACTATGAACTATTGAACATGTTCGTGTATGTGAACCGTGGATCTCGGGTCAAAGCATAGTGAAATTTCACCTAATAGTCTTAAATTAAAACCATGTGTCCCGTACTCCCTTATTAACGTGTTCTTGTAGTGAACCGTTGATCTCGGATCAGAGCATAGTGGAAATTTACCTAATAGAATTTTAACCAAAACCATGTGACCCGTGTTTTGTTCGAGTGTGTAAGAGATTCTCGTGTTAATCAAAGTTTTTTAGATCAACCGGATATATTAGTTTTTTTTTGTTCAAACTTCTATTTTCATTCATAGTTTTACAGTCCCAAAAGGGCTGAATCTATTACAAGGGAGAGAGCTGACTTAGCCACTATATCAGCCTCAATGTTTTCCAAACGGGGAACATAAACAAAAGAGATAGAGTCGAAAAGACGACTAAAATGATAAATGTCAAACATGATCCCAAACAGAGCAGGTATTGACTCTTTAGCTTTCACCACGGAGATGAGAACCTGTGAATCAGACATAACCGTAAGAGAACGAATGTTGGACGACACAGCTTGCATGACTGCTGAACGAATCGCTATGGCCTCGGCCATCAAAGCGGATGAGATAAACCGACGGGAGAACTTGATGATTGGTGGTAGCTTGGGCGCATATTAGGTATGTAGATCGTTGAAGATACCTCTGATACCGCACACCATAGTCCCAGAGTGCCATGCTGCGTCAACATGACAATAGGTTTCCAGCAACGGTGGGGGGGACGAGGAGGTCTGGTTCGCCCAATGTTTTGATCATGTTGGAATGTTGGTATAACACCATAGATTTGAGCCTCTTGCCATTCTCTGGCATCTTTAATTGCTTTGGTAATGACTTCTAGACATGTATACACATAACCATCAAAGAACAATTTATTTCTAACTTTCCATAGATTCCAGCAAACCCAAGGCCAAAGAGGAATAAAAAGGCCCAGAGGAGGCAGGGGAACCAACTGGATATATTAGTTAAACTATAAAAGGGGAGGACATATAGTCAATTAGCCAAACCGGCGGAATTCTTGATATTTATTCGGTAAAATATCCGCTCCCAGATTTTCTCTTGATTGACATGTCCAAAGGAGCGTTCAGAAAGTAGAAACATCCAGTCAGGGGCGGAGGTTCCCAAGCTCGATATTCTGTTCCCAGTTGTTTATGATTCTTGTGATCTCACTATTGTTGTCAATCTCACTATAATTCTGTTCCTATGGCACCATTCCATCGTCAAACTCTGATGGAACATATATGAAATCCATCGCTTCTGCTTCTAAAATCGACGTAGCCCTTGAAACCTAACCCATACCTGAAGCAATATAAATGTAAAATTAATGATAAAACTTGATTAACTACATAGCTTTTTAATAACACCAGGCTCGGTCTTGAGCACATACTCAAGATATTTGTATGGGGCCTAAAATTTTCAAAATTTATGGCTTAACTTTTTTACAGTTTTTATTGTTACTTTGTTAGGATATGAAATATAAAATGGAGACTAATCAAATTTATTAGAATTTCTTGATAACAAAGTAATCAAATTTCTTATAGAGACTAATCAAATTCACCTTTGCAACTGAAGCTGGCGAGGCAGAGATAGTGTTGTATATAACTAAAAAGAGTTTTATATTGAGAATATGAGGTTTACATGTTATATTAGATAATTGATTATAAGTTAATATAATAAATTATAAAAGATCTATACTATTATTTGTGAAGTGATTTTTCGCATTCGAGTTCTCACGTTAGAATTTAGAACGGTTAAATTCAAGAGTACTTTTAATGAATTTTATATAAATTATTATATAATTAAAAACAATTTTTATATAAATAATATGAAATTCATATGTTATATTAGATAATTGATTATAAATTGGTATAAACAATTATAAATAAATAAATAAATATTTTAAAAGTCAAATAATTCTTGTATATTGTTAGTATCTGGGAATAATTTTTCTGATAGAATTTTTTTAATATCACAAATTTATAATTAAATAAAAAATTGTATAAAATATTTCTAATATGTGAGTGTTTTTTTTTTTAATTTAACACGATAATAAGCATATATATTTTGCTATGAATTTTCATATAAAAAAATTGATGTTTGATTTTAACTTTTTAAAATACATAATCTTGTTGAATATATCATACTGATTTTTGAATTAATAGCACATAAACTATTAATATTTTTAAGAAGATTATGTCTACACTTGCAGGGAAAACACTTGGTTTTCTTTTAATAATTACAACAAAAATCTCATATTTTTATTTTATTCTGAGATAATCGTAATGTAACATTAGTTTATGTGGGTCGACCCCTCAACCGATCCATGTTGATCAACCTTATAACACTATTTTGTTTGATGTCGCTGACAGTTGACAGCATATATTTAATTATGTGATTTTAAACTATGCCATTAAAATCGCCCACAAATTCTTTCGACGTTAAAATTTCTAGATGCGTTACTTATACTAAGGAGGTCTTGTAGAGTATTTCAAAAACCAAAAATAGAAAAAATCAAAAATCAAAGTAGATGTTGAAGAGAGGTTTTCAAGAGATACTTCGGGGTTTGCTACAAAAAGAAAAAATCGGATTGAATTTTACGTAAGCTTAAAATATTTATAATTAAGTATTAATATTTATATATATTTTGAGAATTTGTTGGTGATAAACCATTGTTAAGGTTGCTGTTCGATCCCATGAATGAGAACCTCTATTGCTACTTGGCATTGTATGAATGGCAATGGTGTGTGTATGTTACAGTGATTTTAATACTATGTTTTCTCCCATTCTCATTTTCGTATATTTATGAAAATGTAATGAAATTTGTTTCTTATGAATTTTTTTTTGTTGAAATTGTTTCTTTTTGATTATCACACAAATAAATATACAAAGTAGTTTTTGCGAATTCGCGGCCCACTGAAAACATAGATTGCTGGTTTTGTTTGGTACAAACTACTTTTATTGAATATCAAGATGGAAATGGAATTATGGGTGAAAGAGATAAGATGGGTCGAGAATGACTAGACGTTTTTATTTGATCTGCCTCCAAATCAATATTTCTTATAAAGTTTTTCCCCCCCATGAATTATCCAAAGCCAACAACCATTAATCGCCAGCTGTTACCATTTACTACCTTTTGTCCACAGATTAAAGAAAAAATGGACCGTAAGTTTGAAATGTTGACAAGCATTTATAAAATACTAAAGAAACTTGACAGGCTAAGCATACAGTTTCAATTATATAAACTCCTATCAAATGATCCCAAATCGGCTAGTCGTTACTACCAATTACACTGCAAATAGGTCTACTTTAGGGGTAATGTTGAGCATCATTATGAATCGTGATGCATCTTGAGCATTTCATACACTGCAGTAGCTATATCAGCGACGGAGGAAAGCTTACAACAATCTCCCATCTGCGATATTATTTTAGCGATATGAAAAGGTTAGATTACAGCAAATGTAAGTATTTATACATTAAAACTAGCCTTCTTATGTTTTATGTTCCCAAATTACAACAAAAATCATTTACAAATAAGGATCATAAACTTTTTGTTGTTAACGAACTTAAAAAGAAAAAAAAACGAATTCAAAATTTTAAATAGTTTTTAAGTTTACTCAAAAGTTTATGGTAATTGTAGAAACGAATATTAACTGGAATCTTATAGATGAGCATACATTTTATTGATGTGAATAGTAAATAGTTTTTTTTGAACAGTAAATAAATTTGGCTACTTGAGTTTGTAGACATTACTGATTTTTATCACTTTGATGTGTTATTATATTAATAATACACTAGAATCAACGTCTTGTTGTTATGATAAATAAGTACATTGTGTCCCATGCAAACATAACAGTAGGATAAATTGTTTATAAAATAATGGTATACGTAAAAAGATAAATAAAAATTATATATAATTCAATAATGTAATGATAGAAATTATATCATGGAAAGGTGTAACAATGTAAACTTTAAACTAAATAATATTTTAATGAAAATATAATTAAGCATTTGAGAAATATTGTTAAGTAGATATGAGCTATAGATACTGGTTTGTTTATATGAATTGTAATTATTGTAATGAAACATCAAACATAATATATATATATATATATATATATATATATATATATATATATACATTTATTTTTTATTTGCCCTCTAGCTAGTCTCGAGAAGAACGCACTTTTTCTACAAAGTACACAAAGTGAATTAACCCGAAACTATACTATACTTCGTGATCCGAAGTTAAAATACCTTCTAATTAGTGTCAGGAGATTAACCGATCGTATATTATAGTTCACCATGTTAACCACCTAGACCGAAACCGAAGCCCAAACATAATATATATTTGAAATAGTTAAAAACGATAGAGTATCATTTTATAAACATGAACAAATTGTGCTAGATCATTTGTTGGTAAAACAAGAAAGTAGTTATAATTTTCTGTAATTAAGGACATAACTATTAGGTTTGATTTTGCTGCATTTCGAGATTAAATATCAAAATTTATATCGACTACGAGAATTGCATGTGAATGACTTGTATTTAAGTGACTAGTCTATCTCTTTCTGCCAGACGGGTCTAGTATTCACAGATTAAGCAGGTTGACAATGAAGCCTATATCTGAAACCGAGTATTATATAATATCTATTAGCGGCATTACATTTTATAACTAATAAGTAATAACACGATAAGCGTTTTACCAAAAAAAACGATAGGCGACAAGATCCAAAACAATTAGGTTGCAGCTAGGCCTAGCTTTTGATTTATGATTAATTCATTCTTAATACAGCTAATATATATTAGAATGTTTATTTACTGTACCTTTAACAAACATAGGTAAATAAATAGTGATTTAGGATTAAGCAGAAACATACCTTAGTGGAGAAACAGTAGAGGACAAAGTCAGAAACAGTGGAGATATTCAGGTGTAGAATGATAAACCCTAAGCTCTGTAAGTCAGAGACCAGGTTGACAAGAACCTTTGGTCTTCTTCTTGACCTTATCTTAAGAGTTGCGTAGCTCTCGACGAGGCTTACTTCGATATCAGCCAACGCGTTAACCACGGGAACCATGTTATCGTTGACAGAAGAGGAATCCATTGAGAACTGGGGAAGCTTGAAGGTGTCTGAGAAAGGTGTCGTCGATGACATACAGCTTCCTGATAGAGGGATTTCATTTGGCTCGAAACTGAGGTTTTGAAGGTGAAGACGGTGTTCGAGTTCTCTGATGTAGTTTATTGCACCTCCTACTGTTGATGCTTGGTCACACTTAAACCATGAAAATAAGAAACACTGATTAAACTCATAACTATAAAAACAGACTATGCATGTAAGAATTTACAATCAGGGTTAATTCACTACAATTATTTCATCACAGAAAAAAACACATAACTTATGTAACGCATATACAAATATAGTAGTTACTGTACGTGACCATGCATGTTGAAATATTCTAAGAGAAACATAATGGTTAATGTAACTTTTCATATATATTTTTTTTTCAAGCTTGACTTTTCATATTTATTGCGCAAATAGTTAGAAAAAGTCAAGCTTTTTCATTTCTACGCTAATAATTTTATATTAGAATTTGAAAATTGTTTAAAGAAAGTAAAATTTGCTGTAATTTTTTTTTTTGTAACTTGGCTTAATTTGTTATATCTTAAGGGGGTAATTTTAGTAGATATGGTGGTATAATTTGAAAAAAAAAAATCATGTTGGCAATTACTAAACAAGTAGTGCCTCCTATTGCGTTTTTTTTTTTGGGAATAGAACGCTTTTGGAAGCTCAAGTGTAGAAGGTTTGGGTGATTTTTCTTATTCGTTTTCGGTCTCTATTGACATCTCTCTTTTGTCTTTTCTTTTTTTCTTTTGTATATTCTGGCATCATGTCGGTTTGAACTCTTATCAGTATTATAAAAAAAAAAAAGAATGCTTTTGGATAATAGCATGATATATTTAAAAATCACAAGTGAATTCAACAATATTTCAAAGATAGGGCACGATAATTGACACAAATGCTTGTGCAAAATGTTATAAACCAGTTTTGCAAATAAAGAAATAAACCTTGATCATTTAGTAATACAACTATATTTTAAAAATGTTTTATAAAAACTGTTTACTTAAAAAAAAAATTAATAGAAATTTAAAATTGAACGTGGGAAAACATGGTTTTCAGTATCTGACAACAAACGTGGATTTGTGCTAGATAGTCTATATAAAAATGTGTAGATGCTATATAGAGTTACGAATGCAGATATAGAAGTTAATAAGGGATACCCTTTGAACATATGACTCAGGCATGAGAGAGCGGAGAGCAGAGAGGTACTCATTCATCTGTCTTCTCCTGTTGCGCTCCACCGCAATGTGAGTCATACGTTGATTAATAATGTCTTCTTTGTTTTTCTTCGCCCTTGTTCTGCGTCGCGTTACCTGAGTCTTCCCCATATCTCCGTGGGAACTGATATCGCAATTGACCGTAGGTTTCTCTTCATTAATTACAATTTCATTAGGTGGTTGATGAAGGAATGTGCTAGTATTCCCGTAGTAGCCTTCTTGGAAAAAAGTAGAGTCGTAGTTATCGGTTTGGTTGTGGAGAAAACAAAGAGAGGTTTGGAGATCAGAAAACGGTGGTTCATCATCTGCGTAAATGTTGTAGTATGCTTCTTTCCCATTATAGCTGTGTTGGGAAATCGCGCCCTCGAGAGCCATTGGCCTTGTTAAGTATAAAAATGAAGCTTTTTCAGATAATATATGATACGAATATAGATAAAGATGGAAAGTGTCAAAAGTGTAGTAATGAAATAATATGTGTAAAAAATGAGATACCTGGCGGGTCCTTATAAAGGTGGTGATGATGGGAATATGATCTACAGGTTGTTGCACGTGAAAAGCATAGTTTGGGAGTTTGCTCCAAGGGAGATGTATTATTCTCTTTCAAGGTTGTTGGAATAATTAAAAGGGTAAACACAGCTAATAATGGGAGACAGATGGGGAACTTCTTGAACCAAATACAAAATAGTACTAGGTAATAATATGCGTTTTGGGCTGAATGTGATTATTAGTTTGATTATTTTGAGTAAAGAGATATTAAATCTGTTTAATATGAATATATGTTCAGTTTTAGGTTGTATTTTTAATCTCCTAAAATATAATATCATTTGAAAATTAATATTTATTCTTATTTGTTCAGTTAATTTTTTTGATGTTTTTGGTTTTTTGATAACCAAAAATTACTATTATTTGTTTGTTTTCATGTTATGAATTTTAGATAGTCGTGATGGCGAACTAATGGTTTCATATTATATTTTCTAAATGGATAATAGTTAAAGAAAAAAAAGAAAACTATTAAGACATATCATTTCACTACAATTTGGTCGGTAGTAAAAGAAACATTAAGAAAAATAATCTTTCAACTTTAAAAAAGTTAGATACTTAAGTTGTGGTGAATACTCAGTTATAAGGTGCTCACATCAAAATGCACATATATGCATGTAAAAATATATAAAAATGGTTGATAAATATATAAAGATATATTGTTAATTAATATTAAATAGCATTTTTGTTAAAAGTAATACATAAAAGATAAAATAAAATAAAATAAAATTAATTAAAAATAAATTAAACCTAGACATTAGCGAATCTTTTCATATAAAGAAAATAATATTGTAACCGTAAATATGGGTCGACAGGGATCGAATATTCGAGTATTTGGAGGTCTTCGTGTCAATTCGATCTTTAGCCACCTGGATATTCTTTGATTCAGAAATCCGAATTTTTTAAAAAAAAAAATTTTAAGAATATCTGAGTTGATCTGTAAAAAAAATAAAAAAAATACAAAATCTAATAATAATATTTTATTACAAAATAAACATTATTTATTTTTAAAATTCTAATACCTAATTTAATAATTTAATACATAAAATATTGTAAGACTTATATAAACTATAATATATATAACATATATATATATATATATATATATAATTCTTTACATATATGTATATATATGCATATAACAGATCAAATTGGATATCCGTTCATAAAAATATTGGTATTTGTGATTTGCTTCCTTTTCGGATATTGTATTTTAGTATTTGTTTAGTTTCATAGAGTTACGAATATCCAGATTTATTTGGTTCAAATCAAAATGATTAACGAATTGAATCTAAAGTTATGAATATTTTTCCAAGCTTTATCCATATACAATAAAAATAATACATATAATATATATATATATATATAATAATTTAGTTTTCGATTCCTAATCTGTTTTGATTCTAACAGAAAAAACTAAAGTTTTAATAGGTCATGAATGTGAATTTTAAATTGAAAAAAATAAAATATATAGTGTGAACACATGTATGAATATAGTGTGAACATGTCATCATATTTATTATCAAATCTTTATAAAACTGCCACGTGTGCATTATAGTGTGAATGCATTTTTAGAATGTTTATCTTTTAATAGATAAGAGATTGAAATTTATCACCCTTAAGCTCTTGTGTTTTAGATTATAAGGTATAGGCATATAATATACATTGTTATGTTGAAAGTAGTTAGACTTTTAAATTTATGAATTATATTGTAATATTTTAAAATAAATATTCAATGTTATTATTGAAAGGGATATTTTGAAATACTTCCTTTTATTAGTATTTAAATATATATTTGAACAGTTTTTTTATTTTTTTTGATAAAGGGCTTTCAATTATAAATAACTTTCTACAAAGTATTTAAATATATATTTGAACAACTTTTTTTCTTCTTTTTTTTTTGATTTAGGACTTTAAATTATAAATAACTTAGATTTTTTAGAAGGATTCTGGTTTGATAGTATTAGATATATAGTTAATTATTTTAACATAAACAATGACAATATGACATAGTATTGTTTTAGGCTCCAAATAAAAAATCGATAATCATCCAACACAAGTCAAACTCACATGAACACTAATAGATGTATAACTCTTTTTTTTCTTCTTTTTTATCAATTTTCTTTCAACAAGAAATAAAATGATACTTTGGTATTAGTGACCATAATTCGAAAGCAATGTTTGTATTTCTTCGAGTGATCTTCCTTTCGTCTCAGGCACTATGAAATAGATAAACACGATCGACACGGCTGAGACGGAGGAAAATATTAAAAATGTTCCTGAAAAAGTTATTAATTTATTAGCAAGATAATCAGGAATAGGAATAAGTTGTAGTGTCCCTTGCAAAATAAGTATTATAAGAACATATACACATCAAAAGATTATTTACCTGATGCATTCCATTGCATTAATAAATTGAAGGTGAAAGTAATAACCCAGCCACATGCCCAGTTGGTAACAGTAACTAAAGTTCCAGCTGAAACTTTTACGTTCATAGGAAATATCTGTAAAAAAGTAGGAGTTAGGGGAATTCGATTTCTTATATTTTAAAATCTAAGTTACTCATATGTATAAGTATTAATTAACACTATACATTGAATATTATGTATTACCTCAGACATTATAATCCATGGTAGCCCTCCCATGCCCAAAGCATATGATATAACATAACCCTAATAAAAACAAAATCGTATTTATCCAACCATATACATAGTTAGATACGTACACAAAATTTTATTTTAAGCCAAAAAAAAGTGATAAAGATGTAATACCAGTACGCTGATGAAGGTAAAAAGTGGAGTGAGTTCTGGTAGAATGCCGAATGTCTATTTAAACATTAGGGAAGGAAATTTAGTAACTAAGAATTGTGAGTATTTATATAAATATATATTAAATTTACATAATACATATTAATAAATTTTTATCATGTAATATTTATATTATTTATTTACGGAGAATATATATATAGAAAGGTGAAAATCCTTTGTCAAAAAGAAAAAAAAGATATATAGAAAGGATCACCTGAAGACTATAGGTAACACTTAAGAGCAGAGCAAACAGACCCATTCCAGCACAAGAAGCCTGCACAACAATTAAGTAACAACACATAATACATTAACTACAGAGACTAAATCTATTATATATTGCTTCAAAAAAACAGTGATATTTAATTACAGTAAATATCTAACCATAAGTAGAGTTCTTCTTCCCATTTTATCAACAATGATTGTTCCAATCATCGCTTTTGGTATCTGTAAGGAAATTAAATATTTTAAAAAAAATTGCTACAAAAGTGTTGTGGAGATCTAATGAGCAAAACATTTCTCTGACTGACTAATTCTTCCTTTTTCCTGTTCTAGAGTCAATATTTAACATGAGTATATTTATTACAAATTAATTACTTAATAAGTTTTTACCATGATTGTCGCCATTACAGATGTGCCAATAGCAGTAGGGAAACCTGAAATTAAAATAAGTTACCATTAGTTAATTTGATTTGCAAATTGCAAACTAAAGTAAAGTACAAAGTTCGGAAATTATATTGAAAACTGGCTCTTTATATATATACCTCCTCTTTCATAGAGGCTACTAGCATAATAGATAACACCTGCGCTACCGGACAGTTGTTGCAAGAGCATCAAACCAACTCCGATCTGTAATAGTGAATTATTAACAAAGTTCAGGAGGGATAATAGCAGTAATCACATATCTCAATGACAAAAAAATGGAGAATTATTAGTTACATATAAATTAGTCAAATACAAATTAAGTACATGCCAATAAGACAAAATCAATATTTATCATTCTTTTCTCAAACTCTTATAGGGATCATTAAAAAATCTGTAATATAATATTTTTTACTTAACGTTCCAAATCTTGAACCTTAGAACATGATTAACCCTAAATTCTTAAGGCAGAGTTCTTAACGAAAATTAAGAAACGGTTTCTTAATTTCCATTAAGAACCTCGTCTTAAGAACTCCGAGTTAATCATGGTCTTACCTCCACATACAAAATATCACCATCCATAACATTTAAATCAACAAAAAACATTCAAACAATAGTATTTTGGTTGCAATACTATATTTTTATATTTTTTATGCAACTTTTTACGATTAAGTGGAAATACTTAGAAATTATGTGAGTCCTAATTATACTTACAATTAACGGAAATACATATCGCCTCTGAAACAGTTCGACAAATCCAGTTTCACCGCTTTGTTTTGAAGTTTCCATTGTATCCTAAACAAATAAGAAGTCGTCAACGTTTAAAAAACCGAGATTATGACGTCAATAATTATAAATTAAACTAATTAAACTGTTATAATACTTTAATTGCGTTAGCTTCTTGTGAGATGTCCACGTCATGGCCTCTTAGGTGTTGTAGAGCAGCTCTGCATTCTTTATCACGACCAGATTTTGCCTGTCGAAAATTCAATAACAAATAAAATTTGAAAATGTCATAACCAATTCCAAGTATATTGTGCTACAGATTCCAAATTGGTAATCTCAGAATTTTCAGTTTATAAGATTATCAATTGGCAATAGCTTTCAAATTAATAGAATAAAATATCTATATTTGTAACTAAAATATAGATCACCAGTACTAAATACTCCATTTGTTTCTAAAAGATGTATATTATAGCAAAGAAATTTGTTCCAAAAATATGCATTTTTTATCTTTTCAATGAATGATTTAATGAGAAATTGTAAGTTTCAAAAAAATTAATGGTGTTTATTGAGTTTCTATTGGTTAAATGTTATGAAAAATTGTTATTCACAAAAAAATAATGCATTTACAATCAAAATTAAATGAGTTTTCTTAATATTTGTGAAAAGTTTAGAACATAGATTATTTAGGAACAGAGGGAGTATGACATAAAAGTGAATTAAAAATACCTTGGAAAACTATTTCACTGGGAATTTAATCTAGTTGATGTAAAAATAAATATATATCATCTTTAAAACTACTTTATAAGTGGAAATCGATAAATAAATCATCACTAAAAAATATATATATGTTAAAATGTTAAATGACACGTGACAGTCGCTCAAAAATATGTTTACTACTATAAGATGTAAAACTAACTTAGTTAAAGTATTAGTGCAAAGAAATATCATAATTCCTAAAAGTTAACATCTTTTTGGTATCTTAATTAAACTAGTTAAACACAAGATGTAGAAGGTGTCGACATATTTGAACGTACCATTATGTAATATATAATGTTTTCAGAGTTTCTTTATGTGGTTGACCAAACCAGAGTTTCTTTAGGTGTAATTACGTAAAAAGTAAAAAATAAGAATTACTGTTCATGCTAATTAACCATTGTTTTGGTATTGTATTTGAAAACACAATTTTGGCGGGAGGCACCAATATTTTTATAACGACAGTTAAAGTTGACCTACCAGCCATCTAGGAGACTCAGGAATGAAGAATAGACAAACGACGTGAAGAACACATGGAATCATACCTTCAAGGACAACAAAAGATTGATTTAATCCCGATTGAACTAATCCAGTCACGTAACAATTAGTCTAGCTTCAAGAAAGAAATGAATCGGATCTTACCAATTATTGATAGAAATCTCCAGGAAATAAAATTTCCAATGATGAAAAATAATGAAACCCCAAAATTTTGCATTAGCTAAAACAATTCCAACAAATAAATTAATAAAATGAAAATACTAGATCATATTAATTGTAAATATAATTCAGGTTAGTAGTATAAACTTTGAACCTGATTAGCAAACACGAACGATCCTCGAACATGTTTTGGTGCTATTTCCGCGATATACACGGGAATCTATATAAGAAAACAAAATATATGTATTTATGAATGAATTACAGACTCCAGCTAAAACTAGAGAAATTAATTGATTACAATACGTTACCACGTAGCTAAAGATGCCAACCCCTATTCCAAGTAGGAATCTTCCACTGTCCAGCCAAAGTGCATCCTTTAATTATAAACATATTAGTCATTAGATAACAAGAAATATAGTAAACGAAAGCAAACAAGCATAACACACAAATAGTAATTTAATACCTTAGCCAATGCGATACATAGCCAGCCTGTTGCGCACAAAGCTTCACAGAAAAACATTGTCTGTTTTCCAGTTGTATGGAACATACAATTATTGTTAGTAGGTATAGATCGATTTAGTATTAGTTAACCGGTCGACCAAATATATGGACGAGTTCAAAACTTAATTACTTACTCGTTTTCTTCCCATAACATCAGAGATTTTACCGCTAAATACTGCACCAAGGAGTCCTCCTAATGTCAAGATTGACCCGAACATTGAGTACTGTAAAATAGTTAAAGAGTTCAGTGGCAAAAAATAGATATTTATTAGTGAATAGAACTAGAACGAATAAATATTCCATCATCATATGGCTTTATCTTCTATTTGAGTTTTAAAGCACAAATGATATTTTTTCTTGCAATATATCAAATGGAGTTCTAACAAAACTAAAACCTAAATTTAAGTGCTATAGACTCAATTTTCGGAATGAGTGTAAATATTTACAAATACATAATCTACTTTTTAACATAAAACTGTAATAAACTTATAGAAAATACTGTAACCAAATAAAATTAAGACTTGAGTATATACCTATGCATACTATATTAGACTTACTTGTGCAACTGAGAGAGATAAATCGCTGACAATTCCATGTTGTGCAACGGAAGAATAACCGGTCTGCCAAATCATACATCCAGCTCAATTAGAATAAAAATCAATATAAATTTGATCACAAAAGAAAGAGAAAAAACATGTTCTCAAGAAGAAGAAAAAACAGAATTTTAGCAAAATAAAAGGAAAAAAAAAAACAGAAAATAGTTGATGTTAGTAATAGAGAAAGATATGAAGCACTATCCTTGGAAATTTCGGTGATAGTTAGATACAATTAACTGTATTTATTGCGAAAATTAATATAGTGGAACAAAACTTGAAACAAAACCAAGAGAGTAAGGCTTACTCACACCACAACCAACGCAGAAAGAGCCAGTAACGACTATAAAGGTGATAAGGCACACAGAGGTTGTGACACAACATTCACCATCTTCATTTTGATGTTTCTTCACTTCTTTATGCCTCTTTGATGGTAAGCGGGTTTCAAGATAACCGTCGTCGTTTGGGTGTTTTCTTTCTCTTATGCTGAGACTCTTCCTGAGTAAACCACTTTCCATGCTTTTCTGTCTCTCCATTAAACTCTTTTGTCTCTCCATTATTACTCTTCTTTTTTCCTAATGAGAAAGTTGAAGTGCGAAAGTAAGAGTATCTATCTATATGAGTTTATTTTCTGGTGAGTACTTAAAGTTCTCTAAACACTTTTATAGGAGTTGAGAACTGGACAACGTACGAATATTTTACACTTTTTTGTTTGTTTATATCAAATAGGCTGGGTAATTATTGTTAATCAAAAAGGGACGGCAGCAAATCAAGTGAGACAAAACAGTAGTTGGCTTGTCTTACAGAATACATAAGTAATTTAATTCGAACATAGATCGAAAAAACGTGGAACTCTGACCAAAGATTTATAATAGAGTGGAATCGGATAAGACGCGCGCTAGATGTAGAACAAGAAACTTCGCAGGGAGAATATAATTATGTTTCACCAAGCACATGTTTATTACAAACTTTTATAAAACACTAGTAGGTAAAACCCGCCCTACGGGCGGGGTACGCACGTTATAAATAACTGAAAAAAATTTCAAATTCTAATAAACATTTGATATTTTCAATTATTTTTTGTGTCTATTTTGCGCTAAGATTTTAGCAAAATTGTGGAATGTATAACTATTAAAAATCAATAATGTATTTAAAGAATTCAATCATATTGTGTGAATACATTAATATATATAAATTCGTCCGAGGATCATTTATTCTTAAAGGGCAACCTGTTTATGGCTACACAAATTCATAAGTTTCAAGTTAATCAAATTAAATACAATAAAAATACTTATTTACTTAAATTTGTATGATGATAGTGTTCATGTTTTATTGGAAGAAGTAAGAAAAGAGTGATAATTTAAAATTAAAGTTGCNGGGCAACCTGTTTATGGCTACACAAATTCATAAGTTTCAAGTTAATCAAATTAAATACAATAAAAATACTTATTTACTTAAATTTGTATGATGATAGTGTTCATGTTTTATTGGAAGAAGTAAGAAAAGAGTGATAATTTAAAATTAAAGTTGCATATTTTGTTATTTTTTTCTTATTTTCAGGGTTTTTAAGGTTTTACTAAAAATTAACAAAATACGATAAACTAATTTTTTGTATCACGGAGATTTTTCTAAACGTTTATATATAATATTACTTATTCCATTTCACAATAGTTTAAAATAAAAGCTTTAATATTAAGAAAGATCTTATTTTTTAGAACATAGTATTTAATTAATAAAATTTTCTAATTATAAAAAATAGACATTATTTGATTGGTCACATTATATCTACTACATGTAAGAGTTACATAGATGTGAGAAAATTACCTATATTTTGGAAAAAAAAATACTATTTAGAATATGAAACGGAGGGAGTAAATCATAGTTTTAATGAAAATACATAATTTAATTGGTTTAGTTAATAAATACAGAACTTAAGAAGAAACTATAGTTTTCAAAAGAAATGAATGATTATTAGTGAAATAAATCGAGTTATAAAACTGGCATTTGTTACTTTGTATTTGTAACTTTAAGAATTATTATTTTTCAGTAACATAACTATAAGATTTATTACTCTAAGTAATCCAATTTATCACATAAATTCTTTGAACATTAGCACTTTGCATGTATGCTGAGTGGTTTGATGTGTAATTTATGGTTATTAAAAATTAACCGACCGGAGTTCCTTATGATTTTACTTGGTTTTAATATTTATAATATAATTTGAAAGGTAATTTATATGTGGGTATCGAATAAACCTTTTTTGGTTTGCTAGCTTGACATTAGATAAGTTTGTATTTGTTGCAAACGCCATAGATTTGTGGAATAATTTTAAAATTATTTTGAGGGTTTGATTTACCTTTTTAGATATTTATTATCATTATCTGAAATATCTANCTTGACATTAGATAAGTTTGTATTTGTTGCAAACGCCATAGATTTGTGGAATAATTTTAAAATTATTTTGAGGGTTTGATTTACCTTTTTAGATATTTATTATCATTATCTGAAATATCTAAATAAATGTGTCTGTAACGTGGTATTGAACGCAAAAAAACTTCAAATTGCTTTAATTTTGGTATTATAGATGATTTATGCCATTATTTGCTGTGTTTCCGTTTTAATAACAAAAACTTAAAAAAAATTTGGGCCTCTACCACACAAAATAGCCAGCCCAACAACAACCACATAATCGACAAACAGAAAATCAATTGAAACCGAAATGGGGGAGAGATAAATTTTGTTCGGTTTATTTGGTTTAGGTTATTGATGACATGGCTTTTTTTGCCCCCCTCACAAATGCTGATGTGGATGCATGAGAAGGGAGAGAAGCCTACTTTATTGTATAAGATACTTTTAAGCAATAATTTGAAGACAATGACGAATGAACAGAAAATAGTACAAAGACAGGATATATTTTTATACGACTCAAACTCGTAATTTTTAAGTACAGTATAACCTCTTTAAATTAATAATCTATAAATTAATATCTCTATAAATTAATATAATTTCATAGTCCTAAATTGAATTTTTGGTTCAATTAACATCTCGATAAATTAATAATCTCTATAAATTAATAAAAAAATTTAGTTTTGGTGTAGTCCCAACATTATTAATTTATAGAGGTTTCACTGTATTAAATGGTCCCGACAATAATAAAAAGAAAGAGAGTTTTTTTTTTCTGCAAACTTTTCAAAGGAAAATTGCATTCTATAATATAGTTAAGTTTGTACTTATAGTTTTAACATTTGCACCAAAACAAAAAGTATGTACTTATAGTAAGTTAGAAGGTGTAATATGATTTAAATTATGTGAAATCTTATCGAAAATGTGTTTTGCTGCTTTGTGCTGTCACTATCTCATGTTCCTCTGCAGACTGGGAATGCTAATGGTTATACTACCATGTGTTTGTAAATTTGGTATCAGAGTCATGGCAATTTAAGCTTTAGTTTTTTGTCTTCTTACGAAGTTATATTACACCATAAGTTGTTTCTAACAATCAGTTAGTATGGGAGTATGCTTTGTGGTTGCCACTTAATGGATCTTCCGCATCAAAAAAAATTATTAAGCTAAGAAGGAAGAATCAAGAGAATGATTCATAAAGTTATAATGCTCGAGTATCTTGAGGCTTAAAAATTCATAAAAGTCATAATGCTCGAGTATCTTGAAGCTTCAAGAGAGAAGAAGATATGGTCTTGGTTTATGGATATGTACTCATTACTCAGTGGTCTTCTTTTTCTCTCTGGCCCAAGTCTCGATAGTGGTCTTTAGCTATCGGTCCCTGCTCCCATAGTTTTACCTTACTGCCTGGTTTCTTACTGCTTTTGGTAAAAAACAGTTGACTTTCTCTTCTTTTTCAAATCTATTACCCTAAAGAGGTATTATCTAGCAGACAATAGCAAGTCTCTGCGCTTTTATCCCCGGGTTCTCTCCCCCGACCCGGGTCGGAGGGACCGCTCCTGCCTCTTTACCGCCGGTAAGTTCACTCCATGGACGAAGTTGCTGTTAGTTCTCCTCTTCAGAAACAACTACCATCGTTCTGGAAAGTTGAAAGCTTGAGCTCCTCTGTTCTCCACTACCTACTTGAAATCATTATGCGTCTGGTTGTCATAACCTGTTAGCTTCTACTTGCATCTCTTTCATCATCCTGTTGGTGACTTTACAACCGGAAAATGGAACGCTGCTACTCTCGTACGGACAAGGAGAAATGGGAAGAGTTACAAATCCCTCTCTCCTCCTAAGAAACGCCCTCCACTTCGAATCCCTGCCAGTGACAATACGGCTCTCATTGCTGCTAACAAACTCACACTTATGAGAAGAGTTACAAATCCCTCTCTCCAAAGGACAAGCGCTGTGGTGGAATTCCTACCCCAAGTCTGGAGCTTAGAAGGGAGAGTTGAAGGCAGGGCTCTGGGCCACGATATTTTCCAGATGCGGTTCTTGGCGGAGGAAGATCTGGAGAAAGTTCTAAGTAAAGGACCGTATCACTACAAGAGGTGGATGCTACTGCTTCAAAAATGGGAGCCAGTCGCCTCAGAGTCCTTTCCTTCTACTATTGCTTTCTGGATAAAAATCCATGGTATGCCTTTACACCATTGAACTGATAAGGCTATTACTACCATTGGAGAAGACCTTGGCCATGTGGCCGACAAGAACATTGATGATGCTTCTGTTCGTGTTGAGCTGAATGGATTGGAGCCTTTGGTCATGAATATGGAGATTGCCCTTCCTACTGATGAAATCATTACAGTGGAGTTTGAGTATAAGAAGATCGAGAAGCATTGTTTTACATGTTTCTCTCTGTTTCACGAAGATACGGATTGCCCCAGAAGACCTAGGAATGCCCCTGCAGTGAAGGACATGAAACTTGGAATTACCCAGCGCATTGCTTTGTACCGTATTGAAGCGGATAAAAGACGTCACGATGAAAGGAGAGGATATGTCAGACCCTCCCAAGCTCTGGTCCCAAACAAAGAATTTAGAGATGTCAATAGGCCTCGTCGTTCAAATTACTCTGATAATAGAGATTTTCACCACGCTTCAGACCGTTCTGTCCACTCTCCAACTCGTCGCTCAAATTACTCTGATAATAGAGATTTTCACCACACTTCAGACCAGACTGTCCACTCTCCACCGCATCGCAGACACTCATCCCCCCCGCGTTCCCCTCGTCGCTCTACCTCGGACAGGAACAGACCGGGAAGAAATGCTGGTTCTAGAATTCTTACAAGTGGACTGGTGATCCAAGATACGGGTTCGGAGAGGGAGAGAATCCATGAGCTTCCCCTGAGAGGGTCTGGATCACAATCGTCTCACACCCCTTCTCCACGCCCGGCTCGGGAAAGACTAGAGTTCCCAGTAGGCCTCGGCTCAGGTGGACGTAACTCAAATTCTAATTCGAGGGAGCGACGCTCAGCTCTGAACTGCATTGCGGAACCAGACCTGAGAGATGTACTAAACACAAGAGCCTCTCCCAACGGTGACTCTACTCAACTTCAGGAAGTGGAAATTGCTTACGTTGATGGTGAAAATACCACCCTCCCTTTCGATCCCATCACTGATGGCCAGGGTAGAATTGAGCGTGTGCCTGCTGCGTTAAGATTGGGAGGTAATGAGGAGTTGCA